GGGCGCAGTGCGAAACTAATCTATTTCCTGCGCAGGCGGCAACAATAGTGTTTGTGTGTGTGTGTGTGTTGTGTTTGCAGCGCTGCTCCTGTAATTGGAGCGTGCTGGGGCACTTCGACGCGAACGTGCAAAACGAAACGGCATGGAGGAAACGCAATCCTTGAAAACAAACTGGGAATCACTTTGAAAGAGCTATGCCGCATCCAGGGTTAACATTCGCACGGTTCATAATCTGGTGTTGCAGCTGGATCGATCAGGACTTTTTGAAAACACAAAACACACATTTTTTGCGGGTTCCCATGAGAAGACTCACCCAATTGCATGTGTCCGAGCTGCATTTGGCTAAAGGATCAGCGCTCGTCCCCAAAACTTCTTGCTGGGCATAGACGTGCTCGTCTGAGCAAGTGGGATTTTGCAACATGAGATTCCATCTAATAACGTTGTTGGATGCCAGCAGGGTTACTTGAGCTTTCGTGCCATCATCTTGTAAACCGATTTGGGTTCCCGAAAGGGTCCCAAAGTGACTTGATGCTGGAATTTGCCCTGTCCATACTTTTTGGTTGGGGGGTTCCTTTCCGATCTGAGGTCATGGCGCGCGGATCCCTGCTCCCCGCCCTCTTGATCTTGGCTCTGGCACCGGCGTTTGTGCCCTCGGTCCCGCGGGCCCCGGTCGAGGGCCCCGCGGCGGCGGCGGCGGCGGGCGTTGTGCCTCTGCTGATCGCGCAGCCGGCCCTCGCCGAGGAGTGGGCTGAAAGTGGCGACGCCCTCGTTTGAAGCGGCTAGGTTCCCTTGAGGAGCGACAAAGGGTCTGCAGTTCAAGTCGTGATGTTAAGACTGACTATGTCACCTATATCGGAAAATCTATTGTCTTTTAACAGTATAGGTAGCCTTCTGCCAAGGTTGTTGTTCCTGGAAGGTGGCAACCGCAGCCTGTTTAGCCTGGTTCTTACGATGCACGTTGGCTAGTTTTCGCATTACTTTAACACCAGACCATAAGGACGTGAGTGGGTACTGTTCAGGTGGATTTCAGAACCTAACTAGTCAAAGGGCACCCATTGCAAGGATTCGGATCACTTTCGCCATGTCCCAACTAATCCTTGGCGAACGGCAAGGAGAACAGCAGCCCGGGAACCAAAGCCATGTCCCACGTGAGGTTTTGACCATGGCGCCGTAGACCTTCATTCCCTGGGTTCTCCTGTTTGGAGTCAACCGGGTTTCAGTGCCGTGCATGTTTGGACTTGGACCAATTTGCAAAAGGGACTTTTACTTTGGACTGCCAATGCTTTTCGAATCCTACGGGAACCATGGCCCTTTATCCAGCGAACTATGGCTCCCTAAAAACCAGCAAGTGTTCAGGACCAGAAGGTGAGTTTCTCTTGATGTGCTTATGGACAAACTTTACCCACCTAGGCTTTCCTTGTGGGAGGTCAAGAGGATCCATCAAAGCTTATGGTCTGAGGACTACATGATGCCGCCCAGCTGGCCTTTCGTGTTGGTCTTTGTTGTGGCAGCCAGCGCCCTGCTGGTGGTGGGGAACTTCATCTTCCCTGGCCCGGATGCCTTGCTGACGTCTGGGCATTCGGACCCAGGTGGACTTTTTGTGGGAGTCTAGCAGTAGGGAAGCTAGGGAACCGTTGCCATTTTGGGGTTCCAACCCTTCCCAATTTAGTTGGTGGGACAATAAGTGTCTTTTTTTGAAGCCTCTATCCCTTTCTGAACATGTGAGAATGAAGTCCCCACATCACCTTTCCTTTTGGTTGAGCTTCCTTTTCATGGTGTGATGATTTTAACAGGGAAGAATCGGGATGCGATCCTAGTTTTGGACGCGTTTCGGTTCCTAGTTTTTGGCTCGCTTCAGTCCCCAGTTTCCGGAATCGGCTCCAGACCCCTTCAGTCCGAGCTTCTGCTCGTTTCAGGATCCAAGAATCTTCAAGAACCTGAGAGGTAAAGTATGGTGGGGGCCCAAAGAACCTGTCTCCATTTGCTTTGGAACAACTGGCTGATTGAAAAGGAGGATCCTTGGAGACTCTGTCTGGTCTGGGGGGCCCCTTTCTGGCTGTATTCGACTTCAAATGTTCTACCCTGCGTGACAAGGGAAAGCATGTATTGGAAGGGCCTCGGCGCTCAACAATTGGAATAACCAATTGGTTTGGTCCATTTATTACAGAATTTGCCGAGTCTCTTTCGGGCGGCTTGAAGAATGGATTATTTCTGTTTCGTGTTGGACATGTTGTTTAGATATGGGCGTGAGTTTACTTGGAAGCCATTTGTGGACACGGTTTAGCTGAAGTTTGGCTGACGTCAATGTCCACCAACTAGTTTTGAGCCGGACATAAAGAACAGTAGGCACGCTCCCATTGAAGAGCCTGCCGATGTGGGAGCAAAACGAAGTGCAATCAGTTCTGAGCACTTCATTCCAATGTACTCGCGTGTGTGTTGGAGAATACATGTCTTGGTGGCTTTAGAATACAGCCAACAGAAGCAATACGATTTTGGGTGCTGCGAAAGATACACCCACATGGCTTTGGGTATTTTGGCTCGATATAAGAGCAGACACAGCCGATACCGGAAGCATGTTCGGCCTGGCAGGGAACGGGAAACTGCGGCTTTCCGCATGCTCGAGTCCACAATGGCTAAGATAGTTTCATCGTTTCCAGCTGCAGTGCCTAAGCTTGTGCGTTCAGTCGCTATGCCCAGGTGCCAGGAAGTGAGCTCTGAATTGATGGGCACTTGGGACATATTTTGTACTTAGCTGAGCTTCCTTTTTTCGACGAGACTCAGATGCCAGCAAATTGAAAAAAAACAACAGAAGAAGGCAGCTTGGCGTTTTGTGGCAAGCTCAGGGCCTTGCACGCGGGCACGCGCTCGTGTGGTCCAAGAAGGGGTGGGCGGGCGGACGGGTTGGAGGTGGCAGGTGGCGCCTTGAAGTAGGCGCCCTGGCACGCCATCAGGCACCTATGCGTTTTGCGGCATTGGAGCAACGCGTGTCAATTGCGAAGCGCTGGATGCTACGTTGAACGCTCATTCCGCTTGCGCACGCATTGGATTGATCATGGGGGTGGGGTTGGCAACGTCATCCAGTTGCGCTGGTACGACGGATGCTAGGTTGAAGACGGGCGTGGTTCCACTTGCCCACGTGCTGGAGCTGGATGTTGGGTTGAAGATGCGGGTGGGGTGGGGTGGGGGATCATGTTAACGTTCATTCCTCTTGCGCGCGCGCTGGATGATATGTTGAGTTGTTTTCTGGCGCGCACGCACGAAGAAGCTTTTCCTCGCAGAGCTGTGCAAGAAGGGTCGAAAAGATGTAAGCCTAAATTAGAACGCAACTTGCCTGGAGGTTTTCAGCTTAAATGGGCGTATCAGCACAGGCGCTGGCGTGGTGAAATGGTCATATCACAAGCCTGCTCTGGCACTCGCCCATTGAAGCCGCACCTGGATCTTGTGATAAGCTGAAGAGCTTGCCGATGTGTCGGCAAGAAAAGCGAAGCAGCAACCAGTTCCGAGCACTTGAGGGTTCATGTTTGTTTTGGTGGCTTTAACGGACAGCCGAAAGCAACATCACGATCTGGAGTCTCCTAAAAAGACACCCACATGTGGCTTAAAAGGGAAGGGAACCCGGAGTCCATAATCATTCATTGTTTCATCGTTCTCAGCCGCAGTGCTCGTCTTCAGCAAACACACCACAAAAGCAACCAAACAAAACGCGGGGCAAGCGCCGAAGCCGGGCTGCCCATGCCGCGAGTGCCCTGTGACAGACACAAGGCGCGGGTGGCGCCTTTGGCGCCGTGCTTGGCGTGGGGCGGATCACGCCTAGGCGAAGGCGGGGGCATGGGGGAATTGCCTAGGGTTGCAAGTCAGCCCCTCAGACGCCCCATGCTTTGTGCCACGAAGGCTATGCCATGCGGGCGACCCGATGCGGTTGGAATGGATGAAACATGATGAGCCCTGTGAATAATTAGCAACATGCACCTACCAGCTGGTGCAGGAATTGTCCAACTCGGGTCGGGGGTAGGCGAAGCGCATTTAGCAGCCGAAGGTGAAGAGATGATTTTTTCGTCCCAGTATTTCTGACAAACACCAAACCGGCTCTCTTTTTTCTTCTAGGATACTCGTGTACTTATGGACTCGAAGTTTGACCAAAACAAATTCACATATTCTAGTGCTTCGTCAGGCACGTGGCAAGTGCGTGACGGTCTGGGGTTTGTCGACTGGGTTCCGAGAATTTAAGAGCCCCATGGAGTCCGGGTGTCTTTGCATTTCCTCTATGGTGCTTTTGGGAGTGACACGGGGGAGCTCTAAGCTTCCAACCAGGAAAGGGACTGGTGAATCTTCAAACCTCTCGGGAATGGAAGTGGACATGGCGCTTCCCCAAACGGAAAGTAGTCGGGGGGGGGGGGAGTTTTCGCCCGCTTTGGGCTGAGGAGAGGTGACCCAGCAGGCGCGGCCGAGTTGTTTTTCCCTTCCCTTCCTTTTTTTTCTTCTTTTCTTTTCGAGGTTGGGGTCATTGTCAAAGCTTCCATGAGACAATTCGAAGCATACAACTGTTGCGCAGTGGTTATGCCATCACTTCGAAATGCCAAAATGGTTAATCGGTGGTTTACAGCATCACCTTTGGGCCAATTGACACGGGCGGTCCTTTGGGGATGGCGAGAAGGGAGCCGCGGGTTTCGAATTTCCCAACCTGGGAGAGCAACGATGCTGAAGCAGAGCTAGGAATTGGATTTTGGGCGACCTTGAACACCCTGCGGTGCAGAAGTGTGTGTTTTTGTTGGACTCCACAAGTCTTCCACAAAGACCTGGGGACTCAATTTTTTCGCATGTCCGTCGCTGGAAACATATATTCCATGGCACTTATGTCAGCACGAGGCTTTGGTGACAGGACGTCACGTTTCTTGAGACCTAATTGTTTAAATGCTGCTTTCGCAGGTCATCCCCACAGAATCGAGGCTGGTTTGGCTCAGCCATTCGGCATGCCAACGCCCGCTGTTGATACTGCAGCCATGGCCACGGCGCATCATAGCGTGGTTTTGGCGGAGGAAGTGTCCAAGCTGAGAAGCGAGATCAGTGAGCTTATGGCCCAGGTGCATGAGATTGGCGAGCTCAAGGCCCGCGTGGGCGAGATCGCCGAGCTCAAGGCCCAGGTGCATGAGCTGCAGAATTGGACCGGCTGGACAGTGAGCATTGACGTCGACGCCATCATTGAGGCTGAGACGTCGAAGCTGCAAACCAGTACTGAGAGAGGTGTCGAGTTGGCGGGCGATGGCAAGCTGGGCGAAAGCAATGAAAACGGAAATGCAAGGACACAGAGTAACATCAGCGCAGCAAATGCAGAGAACATCATTTCGTTTGAGCGAGATAGTGCTTGGAGCATTCCGCTGGTTGTTTCCTGGAGCAATTTGTGTGACAGCATTTTTGCAGTCCTGCTGCTTCTTCTGAATTTCACGACGCAGCTGCTTTTGACCGTTGTCCTTGTTTCGCCGGAGTTCATCGGTGAAGACTTCTCGGAGAAACTGGAGAGCGTACGACATTGGCGCAGGAGCTTCGCCCACGACATCAAGTATGCGACCTTATCAGAAAGGAGCAGGGTGAGTTGCTTGCAAAATGCGCTTAAGCAACCAGGCCCCGGTTGCCTTGTAAGAAAAGCCAAACGGACCCAAAGGAGACTACTTACACACAGGTGGTTTGATTTAAGCGCGCTTTAGCAAGTGGTTGAATCCTTTACATCCACTTCAAAAAGGATTCAACCAAATTGACACCCAGTTGAATGGCCCAAGGAGCTTGGCGACCATGGTGTGTGATGAAGACGGGTCCCTGATCTTCTCAACAGCTCAGGCTGATCTGGTGGGTGAGATCAACAGCTACCTGGGTCTGGCAAAATCCGGGGAGGATCCCCAGGGATGAAGGGGAGCCACTGAACCTGCTCCAATTCCTCTGAAGGGAAACCCAAATGAAGTTGCTCAAACGGTTCGGGATGGCTTCCACGGAGAATGACAGTTGGGTGGTGGAAACAGCAAGGGGTTGGTGTTGGCCGTCCCACGCTGGAGGATGCATTCCAGCTGCCCTTCTTTCAGCCAGGAGTCATGTTGTCAGTCCTTTGCATTCTGCTCTGGTCGATCTGCATTCTCCGGGAGCTGCGATTCTTGGCGATTGTAGTCTTTCGGTTCTTCTTGCCGCACTTTTAGGGGCTCTTCAAATCAGACCAGGCCTTTTACTGATTGCCAACGAAAGGTACCCTGTTTCCAACAATCAGGAGGGGATTTTTCATTAGGATGGTCGTCTTCCCAATCCTGGCAAGCGTTTCGAGACATTGTCAAGGTGCAACCCCTAACCAGCCAAAGCTCGGGCCCCCATGTTTTGAGTATGTTTCACTTTGGGCCAAAAAGTTCTTAGCATCCCCGCTTCCCCCACCGCGGTTGATTGATCCGCGGTTCCCATGGTCTGCTTTGCAAGGAACGGCTTTCCGAAAGGCCGCATTATCCTCGGAGGGGTTCCAAAAGCAAACCAAACGCTTTGGGATCCCGGTTCCCAACTGCACACCTCCAAGCCAATCATCAATTTCAGGATGCATTCTCACGCAAAACCAAGCTCAAAGCTTGGACTTTGGGGCTGCAGGCAAAATATAGGCTCCGAAAGCTTTTTCTTTTTGATGCTTTGCCACAGTGTTTAGACATGTTCGCTGCAAGCTGCGCAAGCAGGAGTCTTTGGGGCTTGATTCTGTCTGCTTCCTGAGAAAAACAGCTCTGGTTTGAGTGTGAGAGTTTGGGCTTTCCCTTGAACGACCATTTGGCTCAGTATTTCTGGGCCTGCGGCCTCTAGCCGGCTACGCCTCTTTGAAGTTATACCATGTCATGTCATGTTTTTTGTATGAGAAACGTATCCTGTGCCATGATATGGCTGGTTAGGTTATGCATGTTGCCCACCCCAATCCCAGATGATGCCGGGGATGCCAGCTTTCTGGGCCCCAGCCGGGCCCCAACCCAAAAGGCTGAGGCGCCAGAGGCCCCAGAAAGAGCAGCCCAAAAAGAACAGCCCGCAAGCCAGAAACGCAAATGCAACAAAACACCGTAAATAGCAGCGTTTTGTGGCTGGGGTCGCGTGCACGCGCTAGAAGGCCCGAAAACCAACGGGAAGAAAGCAAGGACCGCGCAGCACTCGAGCCAGCCACAGCAAAATCAAAACGGACAGAACAACAGCCCAACGCTCAGCACAGCAGTTTTTGACGGTATTTGCAGCGTTTTGTAGAGCAAGGACCCAGCATCGCCGGCATAGCGCTTGGCGCCAAAATGCGCGAACATGGCCTCGCTTATATCCCTCCGATACCTTCTAAAAAAAGTGCATCATGGGTTGAGAGGCTTTTTGGAAGGAAGTCCGCTGAAGAGTCACCCAGGCCCAACCCCAGACCTTGATGATGTCAGCCACATGGCCTAAGCCCTGCATATACGCGATGTTTTGTGAGGGTTTCCCACAGGCAAGCAAAACCGCAAGCCCGAGCTGGTGATGCAGAGGTGCCGGATTTAGGCAGCGTATCACGACCAAGTGACAAGGGTCGGCGGCGCACGGGTTCAACCTCTACAGCTGAAGCTAGCAGGCAAAGCCTAGCGGCGACACGCTAATACAGGAGGCGTAGCCGGATTTACCAGGCTGACGCCTGACTGCCGCCGACCCCCCAACGCTATTTGTCTTGGGCTCAACATGGTCGGGATGGCTGGGTGGGGTTCGTGGTCAAAATTTGTGAGGTCACAAATTCATTGGAAAATCAGGCTTGGGTGTCTGGGAGTGGTGCGAAATGTCGACTTGTCTGGGGTGTCCGGGAGGGTCGGCGTGGTCTAACCTTGCGAGGTGCAAAATGTCGACTTTTCGTGACCCAGTGGTGAGGTGCGAAATGTCGGGTCAGGACGTATCAGGAGGAGTTGAGCCGTGAATCTCCCCCAGGCCAGTTCTTTGGCCTTGCCTTGGAACTGGCCTTGGCACGACGGTCCCCTCCTGTGTGAATGGCAGGAGGGGTCGGCGGATTTGCCTTGACGATCTGTTTCTAAAGCCGCCTTCCAGGTTGTGCGACTCAGGAACTGTGTGGTCAGTCCTTCGTGCTGTTGTGCTGGGTCGCTCTGTCGGCAAGTGGCAGGCGGGATTTTGAAAGACCACCCATGTTCCCAGCGTTTGATAGTTTTGTCGATCCATGGCCACGCTGTAAACTCCATTTTGTTTAGAGCTCCTTTCTTTGGTTCTCCTTAGGCCGAACTGATAAGCAAAATCTTCCAGTTGGCTGTTGGTGAATTTGTCCATCCACCGTGTTCTTCAAACCGCCTCCTTCTGGTTCCGTTTTCACGGGGCCATGGGAATCAACACTTATAATTCACCCACACGCTTCCATTCCTCCCCCTGAAAGGAACCCAAAGGAGGTGCTTCAACCCATATCCGAGAAAAGCCATGGTTTAAACAGGGGCTAACTTTGGCAGGGCGTGAGTTGGCACAGATTCGTAGCCATGATGATCGTCTGCTTCACCCGGACCGCGGTGGCCCTGGCCCTCTTGATCTCTGGCAGTATGTGCCTAAGTCGAAGCAACGAATTCCCACCTCGTTGACGTTTTGTACCAATTGCGGCTTTTGACAGAATACAGTTTGCACCTTTTGGGGCTCTTTGAAGACATCGTTTTCTCATTTGTTGGGCCTTTAAGCAGAAAGAAACCATTTTTGCACAGGGAAGACAGGAAAGCTTGAGGTGCGTCTTTTATAATGGTTGGCTTTCAGAGAAAGCTCCAAATCTTCATGTCTTTGTGACACCCAAAGTCTTCTCTTGCTTAAAAGGCAGTATGTCAGTATGTGGCTTGTTTCTGGGACTTGACCAAAACGACGATTGACCATGGTTGCGCACGAGCAGAGCAACTCGGGAGAGCGCCTAAGATGCATAACCGTTTTGGTAGGTGGTTCTACAAGTGAAATTCCAGATGGGGTGATGGTGATGTAGCGGCTTCCTTGGGGGGGATGGTGAATGGGGATGACCTGCACAAGGATTCCTCAAGCAGCAAAACAAGCACCCGCAATGCCACGCAAGTGGAGGTCAAGGCTGCTTCGATGCTCGTTGCTGTGGGCACACTGTTTTGGTACCAGGTTTTCACTGTGGCTGTTGCGAATTTCAATGAGCGCATTCAGAAGACAACAAAAGTCAACATTCTTTCCACCATTTGGTTTCCAGAAAAAAAGGACTTTCCCTGGATCCCCAGCAGAATTCCGGTTAGTTAGACTGCTATTTTGCAACGGCTGCAACTTATCCTCCAAGGATCCATGGTCCCTTCTCGAAGCCCTCCTCACCCCCACAACCCCTCAACTTCCTTGGCGTTGGTCAAAATTGGAAAGAATTCGTCCAACTTAGGTGGCTGGCACGCACCACTTCCATCACGGAGCTTATGCTGAACTGCGTGGCCTTGGAGTCAGTGCTGCACGTGGACGAGTTCGTCTTCGCAGCACTGGTGCCCACCAACCTGCACCTTGAGCAAATTCGGGCAGATGGAGGGACTGATGATGGTTAAAGGGAACTTGTGCACTCACTGTGTATATGTGTACGACATATATGCATATATATATATAATATACATATATATACATATATATATATATTTATATATTTATCATATACATATATACATGCTAAGGCCCCCCCCCCTGCCCCCAAAACCTACTTTTTGACAAGCTTTTGACAAGCTTGCCTGGTATCTTGCAGACAGAGAAGATGTTTTCAAGACGGAGTGGATTGCTTTCAGGCACAGAAGACATGTTCAAGAAGTGGCGGGTTGGTTGCAAACACAGAAGATGTTGTCCAGGGATTGCACATGAAGATCCGTTGTGGAAGACCGCGCTACAGACATTTGCAGATGTTTTTGTGGTAAGCAGTGGTCTGCATGAAAGTGGAAGTATGCACAGTACATGACTTTATACAGCTGGCACTTTTATACCCTCGCACCTTCTCATCACACTAGACACTGGCCCTGTGCCATTTGCGCAAGTCACCAGTGGCTACCCACAAATCACTACGCATCAGCAAGTATTCGTACTGGGCAGGCCGAAGCTTTGCTTTCAGCAAAGCAGACCCCACCTTGGAACGCTGGTTCAACTCAGTCTACGATCTGCGTGCCACTCTTCACCTTGAAGCGCTTCTTCGTTTGTGGGTCTTTGTGGGAGACGATCTTGACGTAGGTCGTCATCTTCCATGTCCAGGATGCTGTGGATCACCCTATCATGCCGGACGATGTGTGCAGCACAACCTTCCTACCCTTGAGAACGCGGTTGGCAATGGGTGACCACTCGCCGTTCCTGATTGGGCCAGGACCAGGCGCCCTTTTGCCGGCCATCTTGGGCTTCAGCCTTTGCAAGATAAGACTGTCTGGCCGGCCCCGCTGAACAACGCCACGCCACTGTTCCCAATCCACAGGCCAGGCAGGATCAGCGGCCAGATCGCCCGCTTGCCAAGTCCATCTCCTGGTCCTCGACCCATGTCTTCCTCAAGCTGGATGACAGAGTGTGGGATGGTTCAGCAACCGTAGCAGCAGCTTGTTGCTGTAGTGGCATGCCGCTGGAGCCGCGGGCATCCGCGAACAAAGCGTGAAGATCATGTGGGCTGAAGTAGGCTTGGCGTCCCTTTCCATCCTCCCTGAGCATCTTCACAACGCCTGAGCCGGTGGCCTTCAGAATCTCAGGCAATGTCCGCTTCCAGCGGATGCGATCCTTGCGAGGGGTACGTTGTCAATGCCGCGCACGTACTTAGCGGATTCCCCTTCATAGCGGCCGGCTGCTTTAGAGCTGCTCTGCCTTCGCCCCGCTTTGGCGCAGGCAAGGGTTGAACTTCGCCATGGGCAGTCTTCCTGAATTATCGCGCTGGAGTGATGAGCTGAGTCAAAACAGACATGCGTAAATGAGACGGACGAGAACAACTTCACAACAGCAGGTCAAGCAAAGCATGTCTGTTTTCATCAATTGAAGGTTGAGGTGTTCAGGCGTCAAATTGGGCGAGGTCATCATTGTTCAGCATCTCTGGCGAAGCGTCTGGGTTGTTGAGCCAGCAGAAGGACGGTTCACTTTCTCCTCCACATCAATGACTCCAAAGACACGTGGACGTTTGGCACATCCATCTCCTCCTTAGCTCCACAGGTGCAAAGCGGCCAAAGCCTAACGTTCGTGGGACTTTGCCCAATGGATGTACTCCTTCTCTTCCTGGGTGGCCAAAAGGCTGCTTACGTACTCTGCCTCTTTGTCCACCTCTTCATCTTACCCTGGGTACTTGACATTCTGGCCATCTTTGCGCATGCCATAGTACTTCTTGTTGTCATCATCCAGCCAGGATGTCGTAGGAGTCGAAGCGCTGAATGCCTTGCTTGATGTGCTCGCTCGGCGTGCGAAGGTAGACTGCATGCTTGCCCGCGAGAATGACGCAAGACCTCTTGAGGATTGCCATGAAGTGCGGAAGTTTGGCATAGTTACAGGCCGAGGCAAAAATGCACTGGTTCCTTTCAAACTCAGCCGGCCTATACCTGGCACGCCCGCAAGGCACTTCTCACCAACATCATGAAGGACTTCAGGTTGTTGATGGCACCCAAGCTGGGGTTGTCCAAGAGCGTTGGCGCATGAATCTCACTGGGCCACTGTTGAAGGCCTTGGTTGCTGATCATAGGCCTTGCAATTGACATGACCTGAATGATGGCAGTGGGCGTTTTGTTTACACAGGTGAAGACCATCAGTCCATAGGGTGATATGATGGGGAGGACTTGCGGGATGACATCGCTTTGTTGAGATCTCTGAGAAGGAGTGGGAAGAACCACCGCCACACCTCGCCCTCCCTCCCCCCAGAAGGCTCGCAAGCCCGGCGACCTACCGCTTTTTTTGTCCTTTCTGATTTCTTGAGCTCCCTTGCTCTGCTTTCTCTCCCTTTCCTCGACATGCCCGTACGCGTCCACGATGTAATTCTGCTTCTACATCAGACATGTGTTTTCTGCTGGACAGTCACTATTTGGGAATGGCTTCCCTCGCCTTGTAATGTTTAACCCTGGATTGATCTGGGGCATCGTGCTAATTAGGGGTTCTTCCTCTCTTAGAAAGGACATATTCTGCTTTAGGAGCTTCCCCTGACTAGTAGGGGCCAGGATTCAGCCAAAGCCAACATTCGTAACGTCCTTTTTGGTTTCGCCCAGGCAGCAGCTGATCAAGACTCTGCCGACGGTGAGTGTATCTAGGAGCCGTAGATGGCCCCAGGACTGGGGTGCCGGATTTGTCTGAACCGGAAGAAAGGGGGGCTTCTTGAGTGCGCTTGTTTCTTGGAGGACCTTTTTCGGGTTGCAAGGAAAAGGAAACCACCCTTTGAGCCCAGACTTTGACACACACCCGTTTCTTCTTGGAATTGTCGCAGCCTGAGGTGGAGAACCTCCTGCTTGGCTTGATGCTTACAGCAGCACTTGTGCTGCCATACGCGTTGTTCCTGGAACCTTTGGCAGAGACCATGCTCGCTGTAAAGATCGAGCTATGTGGAGGAAATCTGGAGTTCGTCATGGGGGTGAAGGACGACCTCGTTCGGGTGGTTACCACCAGCGCGAGCGTCAGTAGCTCAACAAATCTGACCTACATCGAGACAGCGGTGCAGGAATATGCCTTCCCATCGTCAGTTCAAGAGCGCCTCTCCCGGCCCGTGCTGGAGCCGGACATCACACGCGCGCGAGAGATGCTGAACCAAGGGTATGGTGACTGGAAGCGGGAGGCGAAGGTACAAACAGCTCGGATTTCATTGCGAGCGCGGCATTTGCCGTTGGCAAGCCAGGGGCAACTAGCTGCGAAGAGCTAAAATATTATTGCAGCGACTCGGCCCATGACTGGCTGTTCTCCAACGCCGCTGTGTGGTTGCGCATGGCTTGCCCCAGGTCCTGTGGGTGTACCAAACCCTTTGTTTTACCCATCATGAGAACTCCGCGCTGGGGCTGTTCGCTGGCATGCATTCAAGAGTCCTATAACTTCAGCTATTCAGCGCTAAGCCCGCTTTTTGGGAATGCGCCGAATTTCAGTGCGGGATGCAAAGATGTGGCTTATGGCACAGAGGCCTTTCACGGGCTTCAGCTATTCTATGCTTTGTTTGTGGATCTGATGTCGGTTCACAATAACTACGACTACTCCCAGCATCAGGAAATTGTTGAGTTCGCTGCCTGGGCCAGCTACGTCGGCTGCCCGGCGTTGCGCGTGCAGCCGGTGGATTTCAGTGGTAACTTGGCATGCAGAGGTAGCTCCAAATACTTGCCCTTAGCCTGGTTCTGTCCGGAGACTTGCGGCTGCGCAAGCTCTGGGAACACGGAAAGAGATCATTTCTGTTTTGCCTACGACTATTGCCCAATGCATGTCTTGCCCAATGAGATTGACAAGGCCTGGAGGCTCATTCGCAAGTATGACTTGCTCAAGACCCTGATGAATCCCCAACTTTTGTCGTATGATGCCGAATAGCCAAACAAAAGCCGAGACAGTGCCTACACAATTTGCAAGTGTCGTCTCACCGCCTTTTCTCCATCGGACGGCTTCCAATGGAAGTGCCTCCAGACGCGTGTCGTCTGTCGAGTCCCAGAAAACAAGCGCCCGTTTGTGCGGGCTGTTCTCCTCTCCAGGCCCAGGGCGTGGAGGAACGATTCCTGGCAAGACGAAACGAAACATGCAGATGGGCCCGAGGGGAATGGCCGATGGGAAAGTCAGCCACAGGTCCAAGTGACCAAACTAGTTCAGCCTTTTTTTCCCACCTTTTGGCCGACTTGAAGTGAGTTCCCCTCTGGACGGGAAGTCGGGGGACCGCCTCGGTCGCGTCCTTGGGGCCAAGTGTCTGCGCCGATTCACCCGCTTGATCTGCGTCGCCCCCACGAAAGTTAGGGGGGAGAACGGGGGAGAAGAGCGCTTCCTTCTTTCACATTTCTTGTTTTCTTTTGGCAGTAGCTGTCTCAGTTTCTTTAGACAAAGGTTTGACAAATAAGAATCATAGAGGTGCAAGACTTCTTACAGAACATGCCCCATGCCAAACACGGAATGAAGGATTTCGAGACCCGGCTTGTGTTGAGTGGCTTGTTTTTGTTTGCTCTGAATTCAATGTGTGCCATCTGCGCTGCAGGCTGTCCGTGGCATGACAAGGGGGCGGGCTACTATATTTTGAAAGTATCAGTCTTGTTTGTCAAGGGCCTTTGTGCTTCTGTAGCACAGCGCGCTGTGCAGGCTGCACTGCAATCTGTCCGTGACAGCTTGATTGAGACGGAGAAGCGTCATGTTGGTGATCATCAAATACTGGCAGAGGAAGCGAGCGAGGAGCGCAGACAGCGCGAAGAAGCAGAGGTGGGGTACGAACGAAAAGAGAAGGTTTTGCGCTGACTTTCCATGTCTAAGTTCATGTCTACTTTGGGGGCAGCTGCTGATTTGAGCTGCCAAGGGAGCGGGTGAAGGGGGGGGGGCGCTTGATTCCCAAGGAGGAAGTGTCATGGATGTATTGACCAAGATGTCCCTGATGAATGCTCTTGTAGACAATATGTATCTTGTAGAGCGCGCCGCAAGAGGCTTTTCACTATGGACCAAGCGAGTGAACAGGCTGACTATTGCAAGTCGGAAGGGCCCTTTGAGCCAATGAAGCGGAGTGAGATTGTGTGGGGTTCAATTCCCGTAAGAACAAACGCGACACAGACACAAATTTCTTTTGAACACCCGCATCAAATTCCTGCATAGCATTCAGGATGAAATCGGCTTGGCCCTGTATGCCGTAGCCTGTACGCCGTAGCTTCCAAAATTAGATTCAATTTGTTGAAGTTGCTTTTGTGACGCGATCTGATTTGTTCGTCTGGCAGCTGGAAATGTATATGTAATGTGCAATACATGTTGAAATCAGATTCGCACACACGTGGCCGGAAATGTCACAGTCAAGGATGGGATTGTCCGATGTGAAGCTGTCGATTTTCTCACTGCATGAACTAGTTTTTTAGACGAGGAGGTTGATATCGCAATTAGACCCGTCTTGTCGTCGGTGCTGTCAGTGGAGGATATCGATCAGTCGGTGGTGTTTTTCCGGGCGTGGTCGAATTTGGATTTCCGTGCTTGCTTGAGGAGGCTGATGTGCGCTTTCAGTATTGCTGCTTCTTTTCTTGGTAGGTGCGGTCTGATGCCGTTCCAGAGTTGCCTACCCAGGATTGATGATCTTGGTTCTGCCATCCGTAGTAGTCGTTGACCTTGTTGCAGTGCTTCTTCTGATCCCATGTCAAGTGCTCTTCTTGTTGACATATTCCTTGGTCTTCTGGATGTTCCTCTGCTTGGCTTCAGATCGGCTACGGGGTGCAATTCAGCGTCGCTTGTTGCATTCATGCTTGAATCTCTCCGCTAACCTAATAGTCTGCGGTGGTGAGGAGATTGTCGACTGCGAATGTCGTCTGATCGTCAGGCTCCATCTGGTCGTATTCCTGTGCTTGGCGGTCTTCTGTCTTTCCCAAGCCAAACACGAATGTGACCAGACAATCTTGAAAGATTCGATCCCAGTCGGAACCAGTCTTTGTATGCGATGAAATTACTCATGATCCAAACAAGGCGGTCAATGGGTGGCAACGCAGTGGTGCCATTCCACGTCTGTTGGAAGATGTTCACGGACTTCCTCTCGCATCGCGCTGGAAGTCTGTGGCAAGCGGCAGAAGGTGTTCTTGGCAGTCCTTGTCCACGGATCCATGACTCAAACTTGGCTGGATGTGGAACATGTCAATCCTTGCGCATGGAAGTCCTGCTCGGGCCACGTGACGATGGTCGTACTCCTGATCGGGAAAGTCTTCTTCTCGGTATGGATGTTGCTGATCTCGCTGTTTTTCCCGTAGGCCTGGATGCAAATGCTGATGAAAGTGATCCCGGCGACATTCTTTCGTGAACATGCAGTCTCGTGGTTGCCAAGTAGTTGGGGTCGGAATGCTGTCAGAAGCGGTCAGTTGTGCGCTTGCGCACCCCCCCCACCATGTTTCTGCGCTTGGTTTGCAGTATGCTGCAATCTGCCTGCCATATTTCGGCTCCAGGCCTGTGCATTACTTGTCACGCTGCGCAGTGATGGATGTGCAACTGGCTTGATCTTGTCGTCATCGGATGCCTTAGTCGCCGTTCTGCGGTTTTGTTGTTTGCAAAAGGCTGCTAAAACAATGCGTGGCCGCTATACTGGATGATGGTATGGGTTGTCGAATCACACCGAGTGCCTTGCATGTGATCTCGTCACACAGAGGCGTGTGCGCAATCGTCATAACAATGTGTAGATTCCGCATATGATAAATCGGAACTTGTCCTTGCTCAAGAACAAACATGTAAGTCGCTGCCACCATAGGCGGCGAGGTGTTGAACAAATGAATCGGAGAGTCCAGTCAATCTTTGGCAAAAGTGCATGTTGTGTTACACGGGATGTGCTCGTACTCCATCCGGTGAGGATATGGTTGCATTGCCAAGATGAATCTCTCCACTGCATACCAATTGCCCATGAACTTAGCGCAGCCGTTGTCAAGGATGACATGGGTTGGTGACATGGGTTGGATTATTGGCCTGCTTGATGACGGTTGATGGGCGCCATGAGCTTACTGGCCAAAGCTTGAGCTCGATGTGGCGTCGCACGCGGAATTCCCTAACGTCAACTTCTTCGAAACGCTGTGTAACAATCATTCTGGTTGGAGTAAAATGGAACTACTGTTCTATTCTGACCACCACCAGGCACTTGGGCCCCAATCATTGGCTCTGCCGATATGTTGACAGGATTCCCGTACATCGGCATCATAATCCACGGCGAAGGTTTGGGTCTTTCTTGTCTTTGTCATCCTTGCCTGGATCTTTTCCTTCGCCCTTGGATTTGCTGATGTCCGGACAACTCCTAACAATGTTTCATTCTAATGGCCGAATATTTTTAGTCACTCCCGTCCTGGTCATGCTCGGCACTTTGAAGTCACCCTTCTGAAACTTCTTCACAAGTGTGAAAAAGGCATCAAACCATTCTTGATGGGATGAATAAGGAAATACTGGTACCGTATGGGGGTCTTGCTCCTCGAGCTGATATCAATGAAGGCTTCCAGCAAGTTGCCCACAAGTGGGGTAGTGTCACCCACCATTCAGTGAAAGTAGAACACTTGTCAAAAAATGAGATAAGAATCAATACAGGAAATTGACAAAGTGCTTGCCAGACTCAACTGCCGCCTGAAGTAGCTTCAGGGCTGCGTCATGTCCGATTTGCGCATATTTCAAAGCGCTGTGCAAACTTGTGTTGTTTGATGAAAAACAATGTTGTCTGACAGTGGAAAAGCTTGCGATTGCTCTTTTCTCTTACCTCGGACAAGTTCGTCGAAGTTCGCCGGAATGGTCGAGTCGAGGTAGTCTGGATCGGGCACTATGTGCTCCCGGGACGAGCCTGCTGGTTGGTGAATGGCTCAAAGATGTCCACTTCCACGAACATGTTCTCTGCCGGTTCTGGTGTTGCGAGCTGAGGAGTTGTCTTCCCGTCGATGCGTAATGGCTGTGGGGAGGATGGTTTGGGAGCTATGGATGACTCTTTCCCTTTGGAATGGAACTTCCTTGTTCTTCTGCAAGGATTCCCTTTTCATCTGGTAACACAAGACCAATTTTTTGGTTTTGCAGGTGGCATGGTTTCATCCTTTGTAACCTTTGTCATGTTGTCACCTTTTAAGCATGCGGAGATTCCGAGCTTCTTAAAATGCCTGCCTGGACAGCTGCTTGATCTGGACGCGGTCAGCTCTTCCTCGTTCCTATTTATCGTGAATTGTGCAGGTGTTGCGACATCGCAGCTGGTCGTCTTCCGAACACGAGTTCCAATGGTGTTACACCCGCGTAGGTGACAGCCTGCTTCCTGACAGTCTTGACAAGTTGTCTGTGTGTGACCTGCTTGAGAGGCAGGTGCTGTTCCTGCCTTGATGGAGCTGAGCATGATCTTGAGTTGTGCCTGTAAGAGTCGAACTGCTGCTTCAGCTTGATTTGACCAGATTTGGCCAGAGTGTAGGTCCCAGCGAGACTGGTTTGATGTCAAGGGTTTGGTAGAGCACTCCGTTTCGGCAACTGATATCCTAGTGATGTTCTCAACTTCTTGCATAGTGTTCACTGCCTCTGCAGCGAGCAAAGTTGTTGTCCCATCCAGGGTGACAGAAACAATGATTTGTTCCCCGGCCCGAGCGAAAACCTGACACTGCTCAACGAGTATCACGTCTCCGAATATGTCCGCTCTAAGTCCACTCGTTTTGCTGCTGGGCAAACTTCAACTCACTTTGGATCTTGTCAACAGATCGTATGTTGGTTTTTGGCAGGTGAAGCGCGCGAGTTCCCAATCGACATTGGTCAGTATTCATCTGATGATGCTTGAGGTGGGGCTTCTTCAAATCTTCTGGCTTGGACGATCGCTGATGGATTCTGCCGAAGGCAAGTGGAAGCGATGTTGGTTCATCTGCGGGTGGTGCAGAAGGATCTGGCTCAATGGTCGGCCGGCCCTTCCTGTCGATGATCCTGTCTGCAAGTGCAAGCAGAGCCTGAACCTGCTTCTTCGTCCTTTAGCAAAATCTTTCCACAGGTTGACCATCGGTTTGTTGTAAGACTCCGTTTTTCTCCAAGGATGCCGCCTCTGCATGCATCAACTATCTGAGTGGTACGTTCTCGGCGGTGTTGTCAGGATCAATTGGACATCCCTTAGCTCCTGATGGCGTGAACAGCGCCTTGCGCGGTTCTTCTTGTCAAAGTATGCAATGATCCCCTCTTGAGATCCGATTATTTTCGGAGTTTCTGTGTCCTCTTTTGGATGCGCGAACAATCTCATTGGATGGTTCCGGAAGTGGGAACTTGATGCTGTCACCATCGTCATAAACATAGTTGTTGAGGCTGAGCTTGTCCACTCCAGCAACAGCAAGAGCGTCGCCGGATACTGGAACTGCTTGACAGCCCATGCTGAAAGCCTGACGTGTGATCTTGTCACACTGAGGTGTATGCTTAATGGTCATGTTCAGGAGGTTTCTCGTCTGAGTGATACTGAGGAGTATCGGTACAGTTCCAATTGGTTAGGTAGGCTTGGGGCGGTCAGCAACCCATTTCTCTGCGATGGCTGCGAACGTGTTGGATTTGCCTTTATCCTGTCCGCCTTGTCCTTTGCCATTTTCATAGGATGGACAACCTTTGTTTCCATCGAAACGATACTGAAATTTCGATTTCCTTTCTTTCCTTTCTTGCCTTTGCCTTTCCCCCATTTTGCCTGGTCGTAGGGCCATGTTGGCCTTCCCGCTGGACTGCGCGCTTGCGCGACTGCCCTTTTTGCTTCTTGATTTTCCTTTGCCTTCTCTTTCGAATTTCAAATTCCACCCAGACACTTTGCTGGCAATGAACGGATTCTCCTCGAGGACGCAGAATGTGATCTGGTGCCATCAATCGTTCATTGTCCTGCTTCATCGTCAACCCAAAAGCCTTCTTCTCCTTCGTACTGAAACGCCGCCGACATTACAGGCCTTCTTTCTTATTTGCGTCCCTCTAAAATTGTCTTGGAAGTTCTCCTCTGGATTTCCCATCGCCATTGTGTTATGCCATTGGACCTCTCCCGAAAGAAATCTCCCCGTAAGATCTTTTCCCCCGTTTCTAAGATCTTTTCCCACCTTTCCCCAAAAGATCTTTTCCCCCCTTCCCCCCTTTTTGTTCCCCTTCCCCCCCAAGATCTTTGCCCCCCCTTTCCCCCCCTACCCCTCCAAGATCTTTCCCCCCCGCCCCCCCTTAAAATCGTTTCCCCCTCTGTCCCCCCCTGAGATCTTCTCAGCATTTTCCTCCTTAAGATCTTTTCCCAACTTTTTCCATGCGGAGATCCTTTCCCCCCTTTCCCCCGAAGATCTCCCCCCTTTCCCCCCTACAATCTTTTCCCCAAGATCTTTGCACCCCTTCCCCCCCTTCCACTCGTTTTTCCGAGATCTTCTCCCCCTTTTCCTTCTTCCCTCCTTTCCCTGTTGAGACCCTTTCCCTTCTTTCTCTTCCTTTTTTTTGGGAGATCTTCTCCCTCTTCCCCCCCCCTTTTCCCCTTAAGATCTTTTCCCCTCTTTCTCCCCAAGATCTTTGCCACCCTTTTCCCCGTCCCCTCTAAGATCTTGTCCCCCCCGAGATCTTCTCCCGCTCTTCCTCCCTAAGATCTTTCCTGTCCCCCCTTTCCCCCCCCCCCAAAGATCTTTCCCCGCCCTGTCCCCTCTTAAGATCTGTTACCTCCCTTTACCCCCCTAAGATCTTTGCCCAGCTCCCCCCTTTCCTTCTTTCACCCCGTAAGATTGCTTCCCTCGTAAGATCTTTCCCTCCCTTTCCCCGTAAGATTTTTGCCCCCTTCCCCTCCCCCCCCCCTGACCCCCCAAGATCTTTTCCCGCTTCCCCCCCTAAAACCCTTTCACCGCTTTGGCTTTGACTTCATTTCCCTTCACTTTCCTTCACATCCCTTCATGTCCCTTTTTCCTTTTAATTCCTTTTTCCTTCATTTCACTTCATGTCCCTCATTTCCATGCATATTCCTTCATTTCTCAGCATGGGCAACATCCCCCTCGCGTCAGCCGCATCATTGGCAGACATTGGTGCGGATGATGCAGGCGATGCTGGCGATGTTGCGCAGGAGATGCTAAGGATGCAAAGGCGGACCCGCGGAATTGAGCGCCCCAATGTTTTACACAACAGTGCCGCGTTTCCCATTAGGAGGGGTATGGTGAGGGGGGCCGGCTGGTGTCGGCGGATTCTCCTTGTTCCAGGATTTAGCAGGTGTGGTGGTCGGAGGGGCGGGCGTCAGGCCAATTCAATCTCCTGGGAAGGATACCAAATTTGGATGTGAATATGAGGAACTCCGAGTTCTGTCGCCGAAGATTGAAGAAACTCAGAAGCACATGTTGGTCGTTCCCTTCAGGAAGTATTTGTTGAGCATGTTCTTGAACTAGTTGACTGCTTCTCTTGGATGCTTTGATCGTGGTGAATGTCGTCCAATCCTCCACAAGTGCCTCATATCTGAACCAGCTGACTTTTTCGTCGTACAATGGCGGCTGTTGTGCTTTGCGTGGCCCTGGATCTATTTCAGTATGATGCTATTGATGTACAGCGAATGGATGTATTGACCCATGGATGTCCCTGCTAAGCACTCTTGTAGATAATATGTATCTTGTAAAGCTTGTCAGTATGGCGTAAGTCGCAAGGGCCCTGTGAGCCAATGTAGCTGAGTGAGATTGTGTGGGGATCAATGCCTGTAAAAGCAATCGGAGGGGGGTGCTTGTTTGTTTCGCCCTATTCCTGTAGCAAGACACGTTGTGCAGGCTGCGCTACAGGCTGTCCGTGACAGCTTGATTGAGACGGAGAGGAGTCATGTCCGCGATCAGCAGGTACTGGCAGAGGAAGTGAGTCACGAGCGCAGACAATGTGAAGAAGCAGAGGTGGGGCACGCCAAAGAAAGGATGGCAAAAAGTGTCGCGCCGCTCACTTTCCCCGCGTATGTTCATGTCTGCGTGGCAGCTTGGGGGGCAGTGATTCAGAAGGCGTTGCAAGTTTTGCAAGTGCTGGTTTGAGCTGACGGGGTGAGCTACGATATCTGAAAGTTGTAAGTCTTGATTGTTAAAGTGCCTTGCTGGAACCCTCCCTGTGCAGGCCGCACTGCAAGCAGTCCATGGTAGCTTGATTGAGATGGAGAAGCGTCATGCCCGTGATCATCAAATACTGGCAGAGGAAGTGAGTGAGGAGCGCAGACTGCGAGAAGAGGCAGAGGTGGGGCACAAAAACAATTTCTGCGCTCAATTGCCCTGTTTATGTTCGATGGCAGTTTGGTGGCAGCTGGAGTTCGAAGCTGATTTGAGCTGCCCGGGGGAGTGAGCTACAATATTTTGAAAGTATTGGTCTTGCTTGTTAAGGGCCTTGCTCACAACACTGTGCAGGCTGCACTGCAAGCTGTCCGTGACAGCCTGATTGAGACGGAAAGGAACCATGTCTACGATCATCAGATACTGGCAGAGGAAGTGAGTGAGGAGCGCGGACAATGTGAAGAAGCAGAGGTGGGGCACACCAAAGAAAGGATGGAATGGTGTTGTGCTCAATGCTTTGCAACCAGGCTGTAGAGGCTAAACTCAGGTAACCCCTGGTTGGTTTTGGATTGGCGGGTGGGGATTTGATCCCCTGGTTTTTGTGGAGGGTACATGGGAACCCACCCCCTAACCACCAAACCATTCCAATACCATGTTGGAAACCCTGAGGTTTAGGTTCACTTGTGGGTTGAACCTTGGAAGGCGTCAAACAGTTCAGAAGCCCCGAGAGCCGTTTTGCCTTTCGCATCTCTGAGGACGGCAACGCTTCCTAGGGCCCAGAGGATGAAACAGTTTTTTTCCTACACGGAACCCTGTTCCCTTGTGGCTTTTGGTGGGGGAGGCGGGCTGGTTTTCACACATCTGGATACATTGTTGTGCCTATGTCCATCTTAGAAAGAATGACATGGGGTGCACTCTCCCTTTTTTTCTCAGCGTGGTGTGAGGGAGCACTCTTTTTCCCCCAGGCGCAGCTGGTGGATTTGGGGCTGCGCTCGGAGAGTCTGGAACTTTCGGTGCACCTGCAGCAGCTGGAGCAGAGGTCTTTGGCAGACGCCTACGAAAGCCTGCGGGTGCTGACCCAGTGCGGCCCAGCCCATTGAAAGCGATCAAACAGTGGGCCGTTTCTGGACCCTCCCTGGGCCTTGCTTCTGTCGCGTAGTTTTGTCGTAGGCAAACGGACCATCTCCATTGCCCTTTCTCCACCAACCATGGAAGCTCGGAGAGTTTTGGAAGACTACTTTCGGTTGCAACCCCGAAAAGACTGTAAAAGACACCCATGGGTCACTCGTTTCACATGGGGATCCTCATTTCAGGCTGCGTCTGCATGGATGCGCCGCGGGAGGCCCTGCTGATGCCCTGTAAGCACCTGGCCATGTGCCGAAGCTGTGCTGTACGAGTAATTCGCTGCCCTTTGTGCCGGAAAAGCATCCAGGCGCCCAGCGGTTCAATTCAACCCCTGGGAGGGGGTTGGGTGAGGGGGGTGAGGGCGTTGAACTTGGGACGCTGACCCATTAAAAAAAAAATCCTAAAGTAGGAATTGTTTACCCACCCTCCCTCTTTCCTGGCACCTGACATGGGTCCCTTCAAGAGGAATTTGGTCTTCAAGATGCCGCCCCCACGGGTGCCTTCTGTCAGAGGGTAGGGTCGAATTCTTTCCTGTTCCTGGTATGTTCTTATTTGCTCTTGTGGGACCAAGCCACATCTGCCAAACGGAGCAGCCGTTTAAACAGTTCGCTGGTTGAATTGGAAGCTGTTCGAATCGCCCCACCGCAGGCAGTGGTGTGCACGACCTGGGCGTGAAGTGAGCCGCCACAATCAACACCAGGGGGCAGGAAGGCAGTTTGAACCATGTGAGTAAACATACCCTCCCAACGTGGAACCTGACTGAAGGAGCTGCAAAGATCATTTTCCTCTTCATCGGTACCTTTTTGTAGGTTCCGTGTCAGTGGGATGAACTTCTATCGGTTGGACCACTTCGTGGACCTCATCTTCATTTTTTGGTGTGTGCTCCAACCCTTAAATTTCAGTGGCATGTACATATTTCTATATATGCGTGGCTTTCTGTTCCGTGCATTGTTTTGGTAGACCCCTTGAGTGCTGGGTGTGTCTCAAAATGCCGGGACTGACCATGGCGGGTCTTGCAATAGGCTACGGGCAGAACCTGGTCGAATCAAAGAGAGGTTGTTGAAGCCGTGGATGGTTATACAAGATCTTGAAACGCCCCCGTTCTGACATTTGAAACCAGTGCGCAGTCTTAGGCACACCTAAGCATGCCGTTGCAAAGACTTCTGGCGGCCTCTCTGGCTGCTGGAACCCGGTAATTCATGGATGCATTGGGATCGGTCATGGCGATCCATTTCAGCTGTGGATTGTCCATGTGAAGATCCTGCTCAGAGGGGTACTCGGCTACTGCAGACGTGGGTGGCTTGCACCAGCAAGAGTTTTTTGGGTGACTAATCCAAGGACAATACTGATCAGGGCGGGGCCCCATCTTGGTGGGTAATTCATCATCTCTAGTGTCGTGTTTCAAGGGCTATGCTTTGTGCTGGCTGGAACTTGCTTGTGCAGACTTTGTGTGTCTCAGCTTCCGCGTCAAGCTTCCGCGCAACGTCAATGGTTCCGCACACGGCCCTCTCGATGCACGAAGCACTGAAACATATCCAGAGATCGAGCACTGGGCTTTCAAGCGCCATGGCTGCGATTGCGCCGTCGCTGCATGCGCCCGGCATGCTCGGAATGCCCGGACTGCGCAGCGTTGATGCCGCGCAGAGGGCCCTTCAGGCGAGTTGATCTAGTCGGGGCATGTTGAGCTGAGTAGCTGAAAACACAGCGTGTTAGCCTACAGCTGGGGAGGACATGGGACAATCGCATTTCCACAGACGGGCCCCCAATTCTCAAGTTTGTCCCGTGCCCTGCCCTTAGGTTTCCTTCCGGTTCTTCGCCTGGGAAACGGTCATGTTTTTGGAATCCAATGAAATATGCGGGCCTGACTGGGCTCTTTTTGGGCATTTGTTTTCGCAGGAAACAAAGAGGAACCCTGTCCATTCACGTTCTTTTTCAGTTTGTGTGTGTGTGTGTATCAAGATGGGCTGACCATAAAACAAGGGTAAGAATAGTCACCAGAACATATTCCCTCAAAAGAAGCACATCACCCCAAGTGAGATTGAGACGCAGCTCAGTCATGAAGTTACCCTTGGCGATTTGCATGGCTTGCGATTTGCATGGCGTTATTGGATTTGAACCCCCGATGGGAAATCACCCCGAGGCAAAGACAACCCACAGGCTGAAGTCGACTCTCCGCGCTTCGGTTTGGTGCAGGCGCCGCATACGCCTCCGCATGGCGTCCGTCGCCGGAGCGGGGAAGCCGATTCGGTCCGTGGCCGCTGTTCTGTTTGCACGACAAAAAGCAACACATGGGTGTTTCTTTTTGTTTTTTTTGTAGGGGACTCCCAAACGGTTGGTTTTTCTTTTGGTTTCCCTTTCAAACCAACTAAAACGGGTGTGCTCAAAGAAAAAGACACGCCGACATTGGGGGCTTTGCCACCTCGTCGGGGCCAAGCTGTGGTGCATGGAGTTTTCAGGACCTTGACCTGGAGCTGGGTCTCGGCCGGGGAGCCTGGGGTTTCACCGGGAACGGGTGTCCTCATGGAGACCCGTTGGACATGTTCTTTATTGGGAAAATAACAGGATCAACCAGACGGAATAGGGACCGTTCCAAATCACATTTTTGGAAGAGATTGACACTGTATTTCTCGGTTGCCCACAGACGCAAATGAGAGGGCATTGGTCTTGATTCTGGACATTGCACAGTAGAAAATGCAAGCATGCACTGCAGCGTGTCCAGGGCATCGATGCTTTTTCAAAGCCAAACCCATCACTCCGCCTCTGAACGTTTCCCAGTCTCTTGCCAGCTCATACTGGAACCAGCTCACACAGTGTCTCAACCGACTTGGAGTTAGGTCTCTTTCACTGATCTATCTTGGAATGTTCAAAGAGTCAAGAAGTGTAGAGCACTGTCAAATGCGGTGGTTTGTAATGTCGGCTTGCTGCAAAACAGCCCAAGGCAAAAAAGCGCTAGGCTGACACCAATGGCCATACTGGCAGCTTTCAGGCCCCCAGCCCTACACCAAGAGTGCTAAATGGCCTCCGAACGGAATCCGTTGGATCGAAGCCATCGCTCCTCCGCCCGAAAGCATGGCTCCAAGAAGTGTAGGTGGCGGCCCAAAATGCTGTGTGACCCGGATATGGTTGTTTGCGACACCGCCTGAAACAAGTATTGGGTTGCTTGGGTGCCTTGCAACCCGATCCAAAGCTTGGGAGGAGAAGGGAGGGGGCTTGGATGTGGAAGGGGTTTAGAGGGAAACCACAAGGACGCTGATTAGCGTATGTGTACGACATCATTTCTAACTGTAAGACACCCTGAGGAAACATCACCGGTTCTTCGTGGCTGGATTGGACCACTGCAAGCAGAGAACCAGTTGCTGTGGTATGTTCAACCTTTTGCGGGCTCAACGTCTCCACCCTGCGATGGCCAACACGGGTGTTTCGCCAAACTAGAATTCCCTTTTGGATGGTGTCCAAGGGGATACCGGAAAGGTCTTGAGATCGTGGGTTTGGCAGCCATTCCTGCTGTATGCCGGACACGGGTCTATGTTTCAACCGCCTTTTATATTTGTTCTGGTTGGCAGCAAAATGGATATGTGTCAAGCTGGGGATTTGGACTGCCACGCATGGGTTTCCTTTTGATTTCCCTTGAAGCCAAGCTGACAAGGGTACCCAAAGCAAAACACCCAAATCGACTCGAAGTGTCCTTGGCACCCCCCTCCCCTTTCCGAACCGATCCAGGCTTTGAGCCTGCTGGGTCTCGGGCCAGGGACTGAGTGAGTACAAGGTTTTGACTCAGTTCGTTCTGGTTGGGTCGGGTTGGATACCTTTTCTTCGAACATTGGGGGTTTTGCAACCACGAATCAAAGGGCACCACCCCACTTGTTCAGGTGCTGTTTGATGTTTTCAAAAGGAAGGCGGGCGAGGCAAACTGCTGTCCCACAAAGGAGAATTGCCTGAGGAGGAAAACAAACATATTGCTTCAGGCGCCCTCCCCCCTCCCTGAAATAATGATTTGTGTAATTCCCCAAAAAGCACATGTTCAACTCCACAGTACTAGATCACTCCCAGAAAGGTTCGATCCGAGTTGGTCAGAGCTGCTTGGATCAGGTCGAACCGTTCCTGCGGGTGGCCTTTGGTTTCTCGTGAGTGAGAGGATACTCTCAAGGTGAAAGTATAACCCCCCACTTGGCCCTTGCACGAATCAATGGCAAACCACCAACGAGGGCAATGCCCCATTTGCTTTCGAGGCATTCGTGTTTGCCAGAGGTCCTTTAAGACTCTTCGCCAGGAATGTATGGGTTTATTGAGGATGACAATCCAACCCAACTGAAATTGCGGTTTTGGGGGATCTTGCATCATAAAGGGGGGCTTGACAGACCTCAGTTTTCTGTGACACGTCTTTTTCACTGCGAGGGATTTTGGAAGGCATCGATTCGGGAGAAAACCGGTTCCAAGGGGTTTCAAGGGGTTCATGTTTGGCTATTCCAACGTGTCCAAGCACTTAAACGATTTCTCAGATCGGGTTTTCCACCCCAAAGGAGATCCACCCCAAAACCCCGAAGCCTCAAGGCAAATAGAAAATATGACTTGATATGACAGGATTTTTTTTTGGAAGCCGTGTGGCAATCCTTTCTGGACGCCTGTATTTGGCATTTGGGTGTTTGCTTGTCTTGTTTTCCCATCTTGCTATGTTTCTGGGCTGACAGCTGTATAAATGGAGCGCGAGCAGCCTGTATGTTTTCAAGGACATGCGGACAATATCTGTACATTGGCCCATGGCCATTTTTGTGACCGATATGGACAGCAACAACGGCACGTGGGTTTTCAAGAGTGATTTTTTCCAGGATGCTGCCTTGCAAGTTCTTTCGAGATGCAATACGTTGACACTTGACCGGATCCTATAAGAGGATCCTTCGGGGATTGTTTCGAACCAGAAGGCCAACCAACAGCCAGCCCCCAGAAAGGGTACTCTGGAAAGACACAGCCCAAATTTCCCACAACAGCCTGGGGGTCATACCCCATTTTTCCATTGTTCTTTTGGGAAACATTTGAAACTTGCAACAAGTTTTCTAGCCAACTCGGCACCTTTTTGCAAGCCAATTAGCGTTCCTGATATATCCGCCCCTTTCAAACATGTGTCCAAGAGAAGTTTCCAAGAGGGATGATTTAACCCACTGGCAGACTTCAACGTCTAAACTCTTTCTGCCCCAAAAAGGACACTTTTCCTTCGTTTTCCCCCGGAACGTGATGGAGCTTCGACCGTTCGCCGTTCGCCAGGGCTGCGGTGAAGGTGCGGAACCACAGACCCGCGCAGCAAAATCGCGGGGACGAAAAAGGAGAGGGATGCGGATATCGGAAAATTATGGACGGATGCTTTTGAGGGTATCCTTCTGGAGATTGAAAGGGAAAGGCAAGCCACATTTTGGAATAAGAGTTGGAACCCGTAGAGAAATTTCCAGAAAGTCGAGGACCAAGATAGGGGTTTTGAGAGAACCATGACCAAGGTCCATGAGGTTTGAGCCTGGCACATTGAGTGTTAAGATTTGTTTAAAACCCCTCAATCAGATTTGAGTCGCGGGCAACCATCCTGATGAAGCCTCGACGTAGCTGGCAGTCTGCCAGCAGGATGACGGGATGCGTGTTGTTTACGTCTTTTTGTTTCCTACAAAAAGAAGGCGGGCCGACATGAGTCGCCAAATTGGGAGTTGCATCCACTTCTGAAGTGCCCCTGCTGCTTGTCTTCAAGGGGAGGTGACGCTTCCAACATTTTCCCGATCTTGATTCTCTCGCTCGGGCGTTTGGCGAAATGGGCTCATTGAGCACTTTCACCAAAAGCGACAACAATTTTGGTTAAGGAAGTCATCAACCACAAAGCAAGGAACATTTAGGAGGGCCATCCAAATTTCGGTGGGGTTCTAAAAGACTGCTTGGGATGGATTTCCATTTCACAGGAACTCACCCAAATACACACCGACGGCGGCAAGTGCCTTTGTTGTCCTCTCCATCAAAGTCGCCGCAGATGAACCATTGAGGCTGGCGCACGCGAATAAGGAACGGGCTAGAAGTGTTGCGAAAGGCCACAAGCAGCGCTGGAAGATAGCGCTAGGCTACAAGGCCGATCTGGTCGACAGTTGGGAGGTCAGCAAGGCGACAGATCCGAGGGAGCGATTTGCTTTTTTGTGCAGACTTTTGTGGTGCTTTGGGCTGAAGCGTTCCATGACCTAAGCATTTGGACTCCTCGCCCTCTGCACCCAAACCACACAATTGGGGGCCTGTGCAAATGGACCTGGAGCCAAACCACCTGACGAAGCCATGCTCAGGTCGGCACCACCTTCACGGGATCCAGCCAGGCGCTTTGTTTTGTGCATGGAGGTTCCCCGCAACAAAAAACAGCGCGTCTTTGGAAACCCCCTACACCTTGGGTTTGTTTGCAAGTTGCTTCCTTTGAGTGGCCGTGTTTTTCTCTTCCTTGGTAGTTTGTCTGGTTGAAATTTTGGTAATGTCTTACATCTTTGCCGTTTGCTGAGATGATGACGGTAGACAATGTATAAGTTTAAGCGTTTTTGCTGTTGGGATCTGGAGGGATGGTTGCCTGGTTAAGCGAAAAAGCGAATCGACGCTCTGTCTTCTCATGTTAGCTCATATTTTGTCATCGCCTTTTGCCGAAGGCATTTCTAAAGTTGGGTCAACTTTCAGTCGAGGTCCCAAAGGGTGATCGCCTTTTAAAGCCAGGGGTTGGTGCCTCAAGGGCAACCGGTTTAAGTCCTGTCCAAAAAATGTGGATAGAGAAGCAACCAAACGCCTTTTTCAACAGACGCCCTGCCGCCCTCTTCGGAAACTCAGGCGGATCTCATGTGTCCTTGAGCTTTGATACAAACAAAGTTGCTTTCTTGGGGGTCGGCTTGAAGAAAATTTGTGTCACCAAGGTCCCCGGTTTTTCGGAAATGACTGCCAATTGCGGTTGTTTCACTCGGTCAGGGCCGGGCCGGGGCGCGTGCCCGTGACTGCGCCCCAGAGGGAGGTGGGTGGGGTGAGGGTCGACGGTTCAGGTCATTTAAGTTTTTAGGATGAACTATCATTCGGGCAAATTGCAGAGAGACTTCACAAAGCTTGTGACTTCAACATCTTCAGGTTGTTCATTCAGGGTCCCTCAAAGGATGCCAGCGGGGGCCTGTTTAAACAAAACAAATTGAGAGCTGATCTGGGAACAGATCCACATCCTTGTCAAGCAGGCGGTTTCCGGATGTATTGTTTGCCAACCTGTTTATCCTGAAGGGTTACCCATGAACCTGATGAACCAATGTGAGTAGCTGAAAGTCTCACTTGTTGTTTTCTTTAAGCAGAAAAACATGGCTGCTTTGCGAGACCACCCTAACTTGCTTGGTGAAAAGGTGGGGACATAAAAGGACCCTGGGTGTTCTGTCTAGGGACCAACCAATGCTGCAAATCCGCACTGCCCGTTGCCAAAGGCATCCACAATGCAATTGTTTGATGCCAGAATGTCAGCGGTTTCAGAGTACCCTTGGGGTAGTACCCCTACGGCAGAAAAGGAGGACAAACATCGCTTCAAAGGCCACTAGGGTGCGACCGCAGGCATAAACACCTAGGAGTCTCTCGAGCCCGGCTTCCGCGCTTGAGAGTCGATGAGTGAGACTCGCATAATTTTGTCCTGTAAATGTTTCAAAGGGACACCCCCAAAAGTAAAGCCCCCTCCAAGTGAAGCACTTGAATTGGGCGCAAGGGAAGTTTGGGTGCCCGGTTGCAATTGCAAGGCAATTTTGCAAGTCCAAGTCCAACTTCAAGGATCAATGTACCCCAAAACTTACTGCTTCGATAGGGAAGGGAATGATTTGGAATGAAACTGAACCATCCAACCGGTGGTTTCCGTCATCCGCCAAAGGACCCAGCCATAACAAGAGATTTCACCATGGTTTACCCTAAACGGATTCAGATGCCCTAGGAAAGCAGCAAGACAACTCGTGCAGAGAACTCGCTTGAGGTCCAGCGCTTTGTCCTGACTCCAGAGCTCAGCAGGTGGGGACAGTTTTTTTGTTGTTGGGGGGGTTGGGGGGGTTGGGTTGGGTGGGTCAAAAAATTGGATTTTCAAGGACTTCAGGAAGCTAAGGCAACAAATTCGGGGCACATGGCGGCCCCTTCTGTTTTTTGCTTTTGTGGTTTTTTGTTTTTGGCGAGGGTTTACCTCTCCCAGGAACCTGATGGTGAGAAACCCGGCTTTTTGCCACACCGGACGTTGAAAAACCCATCTTGCAAAAGGGCGGCCGGGTGAGGGAAACAGCGTGGGAAAGAGCGTGGCCGCTTTTTCATACCACATGATGTCTTTGTTGCGGGGGCCCCAAAACTGGGTGGTTGCCTTTTGCTTCCCTTTCATGACGACCAAGAAGGGTACCCTCAAGAAAGAGACACAACCATATTAGGTCTCCCGTTGTCTTGCTGAGACCGGTCAATAAATTCAATCAAGGCATGCGGCAAGTGTATGCTTGGCGGACTTGCGGATTCAAAGATCAGCTGGGTGCGGCTCGAGTGCTTCTTGACATCCCAGCGAGCCTACCCCAAAACAATGCCCGCAGGCACAGCGAATGAGTAGCCAACAAACTTGGGCAGAGGGTGCTAAGAGGGCATGTCTATGCACTTTCTTTTGCCGCCATATGCTTTGGGTAGACTCCTTTGCCAGTTTCGGCGATGGCTCAAATTGGCATGACTGCGCGTAGCTAGCTTTGGTCTTGGGCCACCGACATTAGGCACTGAAACCCTTTGCCCGGCCCACTGCTTGCTTGATTTTCTCAATGTTGACGCGATAGAGAACCTCTAAGGTACCGCTTCACTAGCCAGGATTGTGCTAGCAGGTGAGATAAACATGGTTCCCCCACGCTATGGGGCGGATTGTTACCCGACTCGCAGGGTTTTCGGTTGGACCAGGTGGTTTTACTGCTTGAGGCCTGGATGCACGCTTTCACTGAGCCTCATGATTATGGAGCAAACTCCTGCCTCCTGTCGCCTCTTCTCTCCCCTCCAGCAGCCGCCCTATCTCCCAAGTCCACAGCCGGGGTGGTGGCCGTTGCGGCCTTGTCACTTCTTTGTGACTCGAGTTGGCACGTTGCTAAAGAGCCCCAACTCTTCGTGCTCAAGCCTGCCACCTCGCGGGTTGTCGGCAGCGCTCGCTCCACTGAAGCGCTCCACGCAGGCATTGCGTGCCGCTGTCCACCAACGCTGAAAGCTTTGGTGCGATGCACACCCCCTATTACAGTGTACTTACGTATCCCAAATGAAAACGCCCCATCTAGCCACGTAGAAGCATGTGTTTCGGGGTATGTGCCCTGGACAACCATTTGACAAGCAACCTATAATCACAGATTTAGGGTGTGTATCAATTTGGGAATGCAAGTAGGACCCTAAACTCATTTAATGGGTTGACCTTCAATGCCTGTTAGGGCGACCTTGTCGTTTATGTACATCATAGTGGCACGGTCGTTGATCCCTTGTGAGCAGTTTTGCTTTTCGTGGGCTGAGTTTTGGCGTCGCTCCCAGGCAAAGTGACTGGGTCTCTGGGATCCCGTCAGCAAGCTCCTCTTTGAGTCCAACGGACATCTGGTTAAATAAAGCCACAGTATGAGAATGCACCCGTCTGCGACTATTGGAAGGACGAGAAGAGGACGATTGCTTCCAGTGTTTGTGAAGATGGGAGGGCACAACACCTGAATTCCCCACCCAAATTCCCATGTCTTGGAGAAACGAGTGTTCCATGTCAGCAAAACCCAAGGTCTCTGGAACCGAGGCCCATGGCACCAAGGGCTTGATGTTTGGTCGTGAGGGAAGACGACTCGGGGGAAATGCCTATCAGCGAACAGTGCCCCCAATCGGCGACTCCCAATCAGCGACGGCCAATCAGCGAACACACGCGTGCCAATCAGCGATTGACGCGGGACCCATCCGCGAATATCAACAGCTAGTCGCGAATGGTTGTGCAGGAATGACTCAGGGTTTGGTTTAGGGTTAGGTTTCAGGGTTTGGTTTAGAGTTTGGTGTAGGGGTTTCCTGTGGCGGGTCGACTCTTTCTGCTGGTAAGGATTTCTTTTAGGCTTTCCTGTGGTGGGTCGCCTCTTTCCGCTGGTCAGGATTCTTTTTAAGGTGTACTGTGGCGGGTGGACTCGTTCTGCTGGTCGATTCCTTTTAGGATTTCCTGTGGCGGGTGGACTCGTTCTGCTGGCCGGGATTCCTTTTAGGGTTTCCTGTGGCGGGGTGACTCTTTCTGCTGGCCGGGATTTCTTTTAGGGTTTTCTGTGGCGGGGTGACTTTCTGCTGGCCAAGAATCCTTTTAGGGTTTCCTGTGGCGGGGTGACTCTTTCTGCTGGCCGGGATTTCTTTTAGGGTTTCCTGTGGCGGGGTGACTCTTTCTGCTGGCCGGGATTCCTTTTAGGGTTTCCTGTGGCGGGGTGACTCTTTCTGCTGGCCGGGATTCCTCCTAGGGTTTTCTGTGGCGGGGCGACTCTTCCTGCTGGCCGGGATTCCTTTTAGGGTTTTCTGTAGCGGGTCGACTCTTCCTGCTTGTCAGGATTGTTTTTAGGCTTTCCTGTGGCGAGGTGACTCTTTCTGCTGGTCAGGATTCTTTTTAAGGTTTACTGTGGCGGTGGACTCGTTCTGCTGGTCAGGATTCCTTTGAGGGTTTGCTGTGGCGGGTCGACTCTTTCTGCTTGTCAGGATTCTTTTTAGGGTTTTCTGTGGCGGGGTGATTTTTTCTGCTGGCCGCGATTCCTTTTAGGGTTTCCTGTGGCGGGGTGACTCTTTCTGCTGGCCGGGATTCCTTTTAGGATTTCCTGTGGCGGGGTGACTCTTTCTGCTGGCCGGGATTCCTTTTAGGGGTTCCTGTGGCGGGATGACTCTTTCTGCTGGCCGAGATTCCTTTTAAGGTTTCCTGTGGCGGGGTGACTCTTTCTGCTGGCCGGGATTCCTTTTAGGGTTTTCTGTGGCGAGGGGACTCTTTCTGCTGGCCAGGATTCCTTTTAGGGTTTTCTGTGGCGGGGTGACTCTTTCTGCTGGCTGGGATTTCTTTTAGGGTTTTCTGTGGCGGGGTGACTCTTTCTGCTGGCCGGGATTCCTTTTAGGGTTTCCTGTGGCGGGGTGACTCTTTCTGCTGGCCGGGATTCCTTTTAGGCTTTCCTGTCGCGGGGTGACTTTTTCTGCTGGCCGGGATTCCTTTTAGGCTTTCCCGTGGCGGGGTGACTCTTTCTGCTGGCCGGGATTCTTTTAGGGTTTCCTGTGGCGGGGTGACTCTTTCTGCTGGCCGGGATTCCTTTTAGGGTTTCCTGTGGCGGGGTGTGGCGGGGTGACTCTTTCTGCTGGCCGGGATTCCTTTTGGGTTTCCTGTGGCGTGGCGGGGTGACTCTTTCTGCTGGCCGGGATTCCTTTTAGGGTTTTCTGTGGCGGGGACTCTTTCTGCTGCCGGGATTCCTTTTAGGGTTTCCTGTGGCGGGGTGACTCTTTCTGCTGGCCGGGATTCCTTTTAGGGTTTCCTGTGGCGGGGTGACTCTTTCTGCTGGCCGGGATTCCTTTTAGGGTTTCCTGTCGCGGGGTGTGGCCGGGATTCCTTTTAGGATTTCCTGTTGCGGGGTGACTCTTTCTGCTGGCCGGGATTCCTTTTAGGGTTTCCTGTGGCGAGGTGACTCTTTCTGCTGGCCGGGATTCCTTTTAGGGTTTTCTGTGGCGGGATGTTTTTTTTTGCTGGCCGGGATTCCTTTTAGGGTTTTCTGTGGCGGGGTGACTCTTTCGGGATTCCTTTCAGGGTTTCCTGTGGCGGGGTGACTCTTTCTGCTGGCCGGGATTCCTCCTAGGGTTTTCTGTGGCGGGGCGACTCTTCCTGCTGGCCGGGATTCCTTTTGGGGTTTCCTGTGGCGGGATGACTCTTTCTGCTGGACGAGATTCCTTTTAGGGTTTTCTGTGGCGGGGTGACTCTTTCTGCTGGCCGGGATTCCTTTTAGGGTTTCCTGTGGCGGGGTGTGGCCGGGATTCCTTTTAGGATTTCCTGTGGCGGGGTGACTCTTTCTGCTGGCCGGGATTCCTTTCAGGGTTTCCTGTGGCGGGGTGATTCTTTCTGCTGGCCGCGATTCCTTTTAGGGTTTCCTGTGGCGGGGTGACTCTTTCTGATGGCCGAGATTCCTTTTAGGGTTTCCTGTGGCGGGATGACTCTTTCTGCTGGCCGAGATTCCTTTTAAGGATTCCTCTGGCGGGGTGACTCTTTCTGCTGGCCGGGATTCCTTTTAGGGTTTCCCGTGGCGAGGTGACTCTTTCTGCTGGCCAGGATTCCTTTTAGGGTTTTCTGTGGCGGGGTGACTCTTTCTGCTGGCCGAGATTCCTTTTAGGGTTTTCTGTGGCGGGGTGACTCTTTCTGCTGGCCGCGATTCCTTTTAGGGTTTCCTGTGGCGGGGTGACTCTTTCTGCTGGCCGGGATTCCTTTTAGGATTTCCTGTGGCGGGGTGACTCTTTCTGCTGGCCGAGATTCCTTTTAGGGTTTCCTGTGGCGGGATGACTCTTTCTGCTGGCCGAGATTCCTTTTAAGGATTCCTGTGGCGGGGTGACTCTTTCTGCTGCCCGGGATTCCTTTTAGGGTTTCCTGTGGCGAGGTGACTCTTTCTGCTGGCCGAGATTCCTTTTAGGGTTTTCTGTGGCGGGGTGACTCTTTCTGCTGGCCGAGATTCCTTTCAGGGTTTTCTGTGGCGGGATGACTCTTTCTGCTGGCCGGGATTCCTTTTAGGGTTTCCTGTGGCGGGGTGACTCTTTCTGCTGGCCGGGATTCCTCCTAGGGTTTTCTGTGGCGGGGCGACTCTTCCTGCTGGCCGGGATTCCTTTTAGGGTTTCCGGTGGCGGGGTGACTCTTTCTGCTGGCCGAGATTCCTTTTAGGGTTTTCTGTGGCGGGGTGACTCTTTCTGCTGGCCGGGATTCCTTTTTGGCGGGGTCTTCCTGCTGGCCGGGATTCCTTTTAGGGTTTCCGGTGGCGGGGTGACTCTTTCTGCTGGCCGAGATTCCTTTTAGGGTTTTCTGTGGCGGGGTGACTCTTTCTGCTGGCCGGGATTCCTTTTTGGCGGGGTGTGGCAGGGATTCCCTTTAGGATTTCCTGTGGCGGGGTGACTCTTTCTGCTGGCCGGGATTCCTTTTAGGGTTTCCTGTGGCGAGGTGACTCTTTCTGCTGGCCGGGATTCCTTTTAGGGTTTTCTGTGGCGGGATGACTCTTTCTGCTGGCTGGGATTCCTTTTAAGGTTTTCTGTGGCGGGGTGACTCTTTCTGCTGGCCGGGATTCCTTTTAGGGTTTTCTGTGGCGGGGCGACTCTTTCTGCTGGCCTGCATTCCTTTTGGGGTTTCCTGTGGCGGGATGACTCTTTCTGCTGGCCGAGATTCCTTTTAGGGTTTCCTGTGGCGGGGTGACTCTTTCTGCTGGCCGGGGTTTCTTTTAGGGTTTCCTGTGGCGGGGTGACTCTTTCTGCTGGCCGGGATTCCTTTTAGGGTTTTCTGTGGCGGGTCGGGTCTTTCTGCTGGTCAGGATTCCTTTTAGGGCAGAATTTCTTTTAGGGTTTCCTGTGGCGGGTCGGCTCTTTCTGCTGGTCAGGATTCCTTTTAGGGTTTCCTGTGGCGGGTGGGCTCTTTCTGCTGGTAAGGATTTCGTTTAGGCTTTCTTGTGGTGGGCCGCCTCTTTCTGCTGGTCAGGATTCTTTTTAAGGTTTACTGTGGCGGGTCGGCTTTTTCTGCTGGTGAGGATTCCTTTTAGGGTTTCCTGTGGCGGGTCGACTCTTTCTGCTTGTCAGGATTCTTTTTAGGCTTTCCTGTGGTGGGTCGCCTCTTTCTGCTGGTCAGGATTCTTTTTAAGGTTTACTGTGGCGCGTGGACTCGTTCAGCTGGTCAGGATTCCTTTCAGGGTTTGCTGTGGCGGGTCGACTCTTTCTGCTTGTCAGGATTCTTTTTAGGGTTTTCTGTGGCGGGGTGATTCTTTCTGCTGGCCGCGATTCCTTTTAGGGTTTCCTGTGGCGGGGTGACTCTTTCTGCTGGCCGGGATTCCTTTTAGGGTTTGTGGCCTCTTTCTGTGGCCGGGGTGGCGGGTGACTCTTTCTGCTGGCCGGATTCCTTTTAGGGTTTCCTGTGGCGGGTGACTCTTTCTGCTGGCCGGATTCCTTTTAGGGTTTTCTGTGGCGGGGTGACTCTTTCTGCTGGCCGGGATTCCTTTTAGGGTTTCCTGTGGCGGGGTGACTCTTTCTGCTGGCCGGGATTCCTGCTTTGATGTGCGGGGTGATTCTTTCTGCTGGCCGGAATTCCTTTTAGGATTTCCCGTGGCGGGATGACTCTTTCTGCTGGCCGGATTCCTTTTAGGGTTTCCTGTGGCGGGGTGACTCTTTCTGCTGGCCGGGATTCCTTTTAGGGTTTCCTGTGGCGGGGTGTGGCGGGGTGACTCTTTCTGCTTGCCGGGATTCCTTTTCGGGTTTCCTGTGGCGGGGTGTGGCCGGGATTCCTTTAGGATTTCCTGTGGCGGGGTGACTCTTTCTGCTGGCCGGGATTCCTGTTAGGGTTTCCTGTGGCGGGGTGACTCTTTCTGCTGGCCGCGATTCGGGTTTTCTGTGGCGGGGCGACTGCCGGGATTCCTTTTAGGGTTTCCTGTGGCGGGATGACTCTTTCTGCTGGCCGAGGCTCCTTTTAGGGTTTTCTGTGGCGGGGTGACTATTTCTGCTGGCCGGGATTCCTTTTAGGGTTTCCTGTGGCGGGATGACTCTTCCTGCTGGTCAGGATTCCTTTTAGGGTTTCCTGTGGCGGGGTGACTCTTTCTGCTGGCCGGGATTCCTTTTAGGGTTTCCTGTGGCGGGATGACTCTTTCTGCTGGCCGGGATTCCTTTTGGAGTTTCCTGTGGCGGGGTGTGGCCGGGATTCCTTTTAGGGTTTTCTGTGGCGGGGTGACTCTTTCTGCTGGCCGGGATTCCTCCTAGTGTTTTCTGTGGCGGGGCGACTCTTCCTGCTGGCCGGGATTCCTTTTAGGGTTTCCTGTGGCGGGGTGTGGCCGGGATTCCTTTTAGGATTTCCTGTGGCGGGGTGACTCTTTCTGCTGGCCGGGATTCCTTCAATCCTCCGTCAATGCTCCGTCGATTCTCCGTCAACGCTCCGTCAATCCTCCGTCAACTCTGCGTCAGTTCTCCGTCGATCCTCCGTCAATTCTCCGGCAATTCTCCGTCAGATCTCCGTCACTTTGCCGTCAATCCTCCGTCAATCCTCCGTCAATCCGTCAATCCTCCGTCAGTTCTCCGTCGCTTCGGCGTCAATTCTCCGTCATTCCTCCGCCGGCTGACCGCGAGTGCTCCGTAGTCCGCGAAATCCTAAAAATTCTCCGAATTTTTCAAAATCCCCGGGCGTCAGTTCTGTGTCGATCCTCCGTCAATTCTTCGGCAATTCTCCGTCAAACCTCCGTCGCTTTGCCGTCGATCCTCCGTCAATCCTCTGTCAATCCGTCAATCCTCCGTCATTTCTCCGCCGGCTGACCGTGAGTGCTCCGTAGTCCGGGAAATCCCGAAAATTCTCCGATTTTTTCAATATCCCCGGACAGTGGTCCATCATTTTTTCTATCTCTTCCCCTTCAATCATCCGTGTCACTTCTCTGTCAACTCTGCGTCAATTCTCCGTCAGTTTTCCGTCAATCCTCCGTCAATGCTCCGTCGATTCTCGGTCAACGCTCCGTAAATTCTCCGTCAACTCTGCGTCCATTCTCCGTCGATCCTCCGTCAACTCTCCGGCAATTCTCCGTCAAATCTCCGTCACTTTGCCGTCAATCCTCCGTCAATCCTCCGTCAATCCGTCAATCCTCCGTCAGTTCTCCGTCGCTTCGGTGTCAATTCTCCGTCATTCCTCCGCCGGCTGACCGTGAGTGCTCCGTAGTCCGGGAAATCCCGAAAATTCTCCGAATTTTTCAAAATCCCCGGGCGTCAGTTCTGTGTCGATCCTCCGTCAATTCTCCGTCAAATCTGCGTCACTTTGCCGTCAATCCTCCGTCAATCCTCCGTCAATCCTCCGTCAATCCTCCGTCCATCAGTCAATCCTCCGTCAATTCTCCGTCGCTTCTGCGTCAATTCTCCATCATTTCTCCGCCGGCTGACCGTGAGTGCACCGTAGTCCGGGAAATCCCGAAAATTCTCCGATTTTTTCAATATCCCCGGACAGTGGTCCATCATTTTTCCTATCTCTTCCCCTTCTATCATCCGTGTCACTTCTTCGTCAACTCTGCGTCAATTCTCCGTTTTTCCGTCAATTCTCCGGCAATTCTCCGTCAAATTTCCGTCAATCCTCCGTCAACTCTGCGTCATTTCCCTGTCGATCCTCCGTCAACTCTGCGTCAATTCTCCGTCGATCCTCCGTCACTCGGTTGATCCTCCGTCAATTGCTACGTGGCTGCGCACGTGAGACCTGAATAACAGCGACACAGCAAACAAACCTGTCGACGATTAATCCCCGATTGGACCCCGGCCATTCCCCGATTGGCGCCATGACGTTCTACGATTGATTTCCGACAGTCATTCCCCGATTGGATTCATCGTTCTCCGATTGGCGTTCCCCGATTGGTTTGGTTCCCGGAAGACTCTGGGGCTTGCTCCTGTTTTTGGTTAGTAAGCCTTTTTTGGGAAGGGACACCAAAAAGACATGAGAACCATCTTCCAGGATATGCATATATAGGAGTATGTAAGCAATAAATGGATAAAACAATATGACCATCTAGAATTAAATGCATACCTGTGTGCGCATTTATATTTGTGAATTTTGGGGGTTCCACGAGGTCTGGGCGACGCTTTACGACTTTTCGGGCAGGTGGAGGAAGCCCTTCAAGCCGCGCATCAAGCCGGAGAGGGCTGACCACACGAGGCTGCCGACAGCTTCGTCGCCGGCGGATGTTTTTTCCCTCACAGCTGGAAGCTATGGGTTCTCTGCCCAGATAGGTTCTGGGGTGGTTCGGGGCAGCTTCCAGGGAGGGTTCTTGAGGTTCCGGGCTGTTGGGGATGCCACCCAAAAGTTTTGACTACCTGAGGTTTCATCACCATTTCCAACAAGGTTTATTGTTCATTTGCCGGGAGGGGAATTCACCGAATGCTCCACACAAATCAGGGCACGCACTAATATTGCTGTGGATTGGTGATTTGGGGATTTGAACCCCTGGTTCTTGTTGGAACGGACACCTCCCTGTAGCCTCCAAATCACCAAACCAAACCAGCAAGTAGTAGGAAGCTGATTTATTGACTACGAGGCAGAATCACCTGGACTTGTTTGAGCTATTATCAGGGCAGCCTGAGTGTCGTAGAATCAGTTGTTTGATCTTTTGCGGTTCTGTCCGTCAGCTGCAAGGCACGTGGGTGAGGAAATCCCCTATGAAGCTAGGGAGTGAGTTTTAGTCCTGACCAAGAGTCCGGGCGCTTTCCCGGGACAGCTTTGGGGTCGATTGGCCCAAGGCTCCGGACGGTCGGAGCTCGCGTTCTGGGGGTTGCTGTTGAGGATACCTGGACATTTCTCGGATGGGATGCCAAGCAGAAAAACCGAGAAGCAGTCTGGGGATTGCTCAGCCCATTTTGAGAAGCCAGAAGCCAGATGTGCCACGGCCCAAGGTTGCCAAAATTGGCTTCAATCTCCCGGGCTCACTTTGACAGTTTTCGGATGGTCTTTTGCTGAAAGACTACTTTCCTCGTGTGAAGCCCCCGTGTCCACTTCCATTGTCGGAAAGAGGGTACGTGTCACTATTTGCCTCCGGAGTTTTCCTCCGACCCCGGTTGTGCCTTGTTTTGTTGTGCCCAGACGCGAGGTTCCCGGACGACGAGCGGATGAGAAGCAGACCACAGTTCGCGAAGTTCGCATTGATGGCAAGGCGCTTAGCATTGCCAGACTTTTGCCTAGGGGGAACAACCCAGAATGTTGGGGCATCCAATTCTTAATGGTAGCTTGAGGGTTTCCGCTGCCAAACCACCATGTGCCGCAAAACCTCGCTCGCAAATGAGCGAAGAACCGGGGGAATTTGCGCCATGGCCTAGCAGTTCGGTAGGCAAAGCTTCTTGAAACAGTTTGGACCCAAGGATTCGAAGATGAGCCGCGATTTGGACCCCGCAATTCGCCCGCTGAACGGGTCCATATGGACCTTGTCGCAGAAGCCCCTGGAATGTCCAATGTATTTCCTTTTGTTGGGGAAGCCCCCCCCCCCCCCCCTATGTTTTGGGGTTCCTTCTTTGAGCCACACTCAAAACCCGGGTAAAAACGTGAAGGATCAAAGATAGTCCCAGCTAGAAATTGGTGCGGATATCCATCCTATTGATTCTTTGCATGATGGTTTGGGGGGACACACTAATTGTCCCTTAAAACCTGGGGACAAGCCCGCATTTGGGCAACATTCGAAATTGACCCTGAACCTGCCCTTAAAAATTAGATGCCCGAAAATTATGGGAACCCTGATTTCCGTTCCTCCAGGGTAGTCTGATGGTCCACATACTCTAAAAGAGACACTTGTTTTGTTCTTATCCACTTACACACCTAATTATGGGGTTGTCTATACATTTCGGGAACCTCCAAAATGGGTCGGCTTTCCTTTGGTGTCTCTTCAAAGCAATCCCAAGAAGGGTTCCCTCAATAGACTAATTCCCATATTTCTCCCTACATCGCCAACACGAAGCTCACTTGAAATTGGCAACCGAAGGCACCTTTTGGAAATATAGGGAATCAAAGATGTTCGTCAACATAGGGGTCCTTCAAATGGTTGGGTTTCCTTTTGCTTCTCTCCAAATACTGACCAAAAGGGGGTGTTTTTCCACCATGTTGAGATGGGAGTGTCTCTTTTGGAGGGTACCGTGTGTGCTTTTGGTGGGTATATAAACGTGAACCGAAGGAAAGCTACAAGTCTGGAGGCCCCCCACCCCCCACCAAAAAAGACACCCGATTCAGGATTTCACACAGGATACATCCATGATACATCAAATAAACCAACATGGTATCAACAGCCTTGGAACCGTCTGGAACCCTCCCGATCCTGAAAGCTACTCACGTTGTAATCGCCGCAACTTGGGTCAGGGGCCACCGAGGCAAAGGAGCGCTGTTGGGTCACCAGCCGCCAGCTGGAGGACGCTTCCGACCAAGGGCCCCAGCCCCCCCCCCCCCCTGCGGTGGATTTCGGTTCTCCTGGTTTCGCAGGCGATTTGAGGGTTTCAAGAACAGCTACATGCTGCCACTTTCAGGTCAACCTTTCAGCCACCCCTGTTGCGCTTTTTGGACCCCCTGATGGAAGCTCCCTCATCAGTGGGGGGTTTTGAGTGTTTTGGGTGCCGGTCCCCTTGAATTGAAGAAGAGCATGATTTGAGGATGTGGACCTTGACTTGGGATTCCGATTCGTGTTTCTGGGATTTGAACCACTGGTTCTTGTAGAGGGCCACCTCCAAACTACCAATCCAAACCACTTTAGCGTACATCCCAAGCATCCGGGCAGCTCGAAAAGCAAGGAACAAAGAGAGGGCCTCAACTTCCATGCTCAAACCGAACCAAAAGCCGAAGTGGACTCAACAAAAGCGCGGCCTTGCTTGCAGTGCTTTCCGGGTCGAGGGATTGTCTTGTGACCTGCTGCTGTGTGGCTCGTCGACGCCGAGTTTCTTGGTTTCCCTTTGGAGTTTCTTGGTTTCCGTTTTTTGGCCCTGGATTTTCATGGTGGCTTTCCGTAGAGCTTTCATGTTTTTCGTTCTCAGTTGGTCCTGTCTGGCATGCTTCATATGGATGATGTCGATTGCACAAGCGGCTAGGTGCCGGTCGAAGTTTTAGAAGGCCATGTGGGAGAAATGGTCATGAGGCTCATGGGGGAACTTGCTAGGTTTTCCTCAAAGCCAAGCGACTCACTACAGTTCCCATGTCTCGAGAACATGCGGAAGCTTTTAGCCGTGGCTGCGGAAGCCTTGCCCATACGAAGCAATTGGCCCCTGCGTGAAATCACAGGAAACAAAAGGCTTTTCCTTCTCAAGGAAAGGCTCTTAGACCTATTTCGGGTGGAACATTGTGGGGGGGGGGGAATGTCTCTCCGACTCGCGTACTCCTGATGAGTTTGAGTGTTTGAGAGACGCGAGCGGGGCTGGCCTCTTCCAAGAACATATATGGCAAGTTTTGATCAAGCACCCCTTCAATTGGACCTGGTGGACATACATTTACAGCTAAATGATGCCCAATCAAGGGTCCCGAGTTAAAATTCAAAGCCAACAGGTCATTTTGGTAGGGACCAAAATTCTAATTGTGCAAGGCGGCCCAAAGCAACACCAGACCCAACATGGCCATGCTTTCAGAGCTGACATGCTCATTTGTAGTAACCCTGGGAAGCTTTGATGAGAAATGAATCTGCCCTCGAAGCCAGCAAGACTCTGAAATGGGTATTCTTCAGAGTTAACCTTCTTCAGGAAGATTTCCTTTGGTTTCCCTTTTAAATGCCCCCCCCCTGTTTTTGAGAAGCGCCCAACTGAATGTGCCAGAGTGTACGCCCTAGGAGGCACGTCGCGAGATCGTGCGGGTGTCGAGCCGCGGGGCCAAGGCGAGCAACCAGCATTCCGGATTCGGGGAGGGGTGGGGCGGGTGGGTCCGAACCCACTTTTTTTGGACCACCCATGAAACTCGTACCGCTTGCGCCCGAAGGTTTCTGGACTTGTGAGCAGTCGGCCTCCCAAAAGGCATGCGTCGTCCATACCCATGTTCCCAACAGAGTATAACCAATATTCGATACCGTGGATTGGCCAGCAGGAAAGCACCAATATATCGAGGCGCGCGTGAGCGCCTCTTTTTCTGGTTTTGGCTCACTTGCAGTGAGTGACTGCCATGTGACATGCTTTTGAAACGCGATCTCTTTTGAAACGCGGTTGTAAGGATATGTGCTTGCCCAATGGAAGCGCCTTGCGCATATTGCGCATGTCCACCACGGTCTTGGTGAGTGGTGCTGAGCAACATTGAGAGAGGCGAGAGGTATTGAGGTGAGCGCTTTCGGCTTGCGCACGTGACCGCACTTTGCGCAAGGTGTACTTGCGAGTGTACCCGCACAACGCCATCACTCAGAGGACCTGCGACTTGGGCACTCGGGTTGCTTTTACATGTGGAAGACCGGCACGCCGAGACCCACGCATGCGGCTCCCTTGTGTTTTTTCCACCCGCGAGAAGCGCATGGGTGTTTTTTGATATCGTACACCCCCCATGGAGAAGGATTTTCTTGGAACGTGGATCCAAAACTCACGCAGCTTTTCCAGTTTCTGAAAAGACCGGTTTACTTGACCTCTTATATACTAGGAAATGTGTTGCACTGAGGGAACCATGACCAAGGCACACGAAGGAGTTTTGACCAGTCAGACCGCGCAGGCTAAACTCTAGAGGGTTGGTCTGGTGCACATTTGAGGTGAGAGACGACCTGGAGCCATTGCGGCCGTGTGAGACCTGGTACACCACTTGGTGCAGGAAACTGGCCGTGATTTATGGAGCCAAGCCACATGATGTGGTTTGGCTCACTCTCTTCGATTCCCTCACTGAGAACCAAGGGGGAGGGCATAGCCTTTGTGCATGTCAAGCCAACGCCTTGCCTGGCCAGCGTGATGCAGGTGGTTGAGCTTTGTTCTGGCATGGGAGCATCGGGCATGGGGGCCGAACAGGCCCGGCACTCACGTCAAGGTTTCAGTCCTCGCCGGGGTTTCGTGACAGTTTTGCAGCCAGGGTGTGGGGCCTGATTGTTTTTCTCCTGCAGTTGGAGCTGAACCCGGTTTTGAGCACACAGCCATGATGATGTTTATGAGCCCAGAACTGACAGCTTTCGATGTATACAGCGGTATGAAGTGGAGGACTGCATTCGGACATTGTTGGTGGATGGAGGCCGATGAGTAGCCTTACGCAGGTTGTATTTTCACCGTGCGGCTGTCACTTGCTTGAGCCGGCCACGTATTTGCGACTTGTAGGGATGCTGGCCCCTTTTCTGCGGCCGATGTTCCGGGTAGTCCTTGCCGAAGAGTTGCACCCTCCCAAGACTACACCCTGCGTAGGCCCTGCGTGGCCTGAAGCCGCATGATTTTCGTTTGTCACCATCCGTCAGTGGATGTACCCCCGTCAGACACACGCGGTCCCGCACACAGAGGCCTGGCTGTCGATGTTCGCGTTTAACCACAGTGGTGGACACAACTCCCTCCATTGCAAGTGTCCATCGAGGCAAGGAGGCTTTCTTCCAGTGACATTTTGCTGAGCCCGATGCCTGCCAGAGGTAAGGTTTTTCAATCACCTGTATTGGATCCAGTTCCCGAATTTTATCTTTTGCTCTATGCGTAGACAAAGCCGGTGGGGTTTGACAAACACCGGGTCCTCCAGCTTCATGGGATTCAGGATCGCAGACAGCCGCAGCGGTGCGAGCAAGGCTGCGAGCGATGGGAGAGAGCGATTGAGGGTTTCTGAAAACGGGGGTGCTCCAAACTTAATGGGCCAGAAAAAACCATTTTCCTTTTACGAGACCATTTTGGGCCCGTGTTGGAGGTGGTTTAGACCCGAAATTTCGGGCGAATTTTTCGCTGGGGTTCCCAGGGACGTCTACGTCGGGGGCTGGTTCCTCTGGTGGCATCGGGATGTGTGGGCGCTGCTTACGCTTTCTTGGCCCCCCCAAAAGGCAATGAAGCTCGGACGCTGCTCTCGGCTTTGACCCCACAGCAAGGTGTTAGAAGAAGGTATTGGCACCGCGGGATATGAGCGAATTGGGATGTGGGTGACAACACCTTTTACCATCGCCTTGCTGATTGGCAGCTTCCCTCAACCCCTCTAGTTGGTTCTCTATATCCACCCTGCCAACCTGACCCTGGTTTCTGACGGGCGTCCCACCATGTTGTGGTACTTTTAGGGCAACACATACATGTCCAGTCGCCGGTATTTTTACCTTGAACAACTGTCAAAACAATGTCAGTTTTTGATTCTCGACAAGCACAATTTTGCCTGACCGCTGACAAGATCATGAGTGGATAGTGGATCTCTAGGTTGTGTGGGCCGAGCCAACTTGTCCAACATTCGGGCCACAAGCAAGCAGCCCCAAAATTCCAGTTTCCTATTTTGGTAAGTGGTTCTAGGTTAGTTGTAATAACGCCTATGCATATGTTTATATCATGTTGGTAGAGCCAAAAGTCAACGGGTTTTGGGGCCACTCTCTGTGATACCGTGGATAGGATATCCCACCCACGTGCCACCAGATTTCGGGCCCCTGAAGTGTACCATCAGAAGACCTGCCTACTTCGGGTTGGCAGGGATGGTCATGGCCCATTTAGCAGCGATTGATGGGAGCTTGACCATGGCTCAAGTCACATTCCGTTGCGCAGGGGAAGTTTGAGTATTGGGTGGCTGCGTTGAAGCCGAACGTCGTGATCTTCGAGCTTGACGTGGAGTCAGAGGAAGGGAGACCAATAAATCGACACGTGGGTGGCAAAGATTGCCTCGTTTCTACCGCCCCTAAAAACCTGACTGGGGAGTCCTGGAAGACTATGCTCTAAAAGCGACGCTCTGGGCTCTGTGTTGGTGGACAGGAGGGTATCTTTTGGAAAGCAATCTCGTCTCCCCATTAGCAATCTGGGGCCCAAGGGTTCGTTCTCCACTCTTTGCGCCCATGGCTCTTTTCAACATCCAGCTCTTTCCCAAAAAACACCTCCCCCACTATCCTCCCCTTCAGCAAATGGCCGCATAGCCAGGGAAAGATCGGTAGTCTCTGAATAGAAGGATGGTTGAAGAGAGTGGGGAATCACCCGTGGATCGGGAGGACTGGCGCAAGCATACAGTCGGTAAATGGGACAAAACTTAAAGTTGCCCGAGATGAATGATATGGTTGCCTCCTTCCATCAAACACGGCGTCCCTTTGCATTGTCCCCCTACATCACCCGTGACACTCATCAAACATAAGCAACAAGCAAGTGACATTTTGAAGAAAACGCGAGAGATGCCGATGAACCAGTGGGTAGGCGCCTTTGCCCCCTTCCGAGCTCGGCACGGAAAGGGCCATTGGCCAACTTGGGGCATATGCCTTGAGCAATGCGGCCGTGCACAGCGTGGCATTCGCATAAGCCTTGATTGGTTTTATTTTGTGGAGGAGCTATAGTTCTGTTGGGAAGGTTTGGGAAGCCCGTATGTGTGTGTGTGTGTGTGTGTGTGTGTGTGTGTGTGTGTGTGTATTTTTGAGGTTACTGGCTGTTTTGGGGAAGCCACTGGAGAACACCATTTATTTTTAGATACCATATTCCAAGACCCGTACAGTCAATCTCTTGTGGGGGAGAACTTTTTTTCCCCAACAGCTGAAAGCTTTGGGGTCTCAGCCCAGATAGGCTCCGGGGTGTGGCCCTGAGGTAAGGTTCCACGAGGGTTCCACCAGGGTTCTACCACAGTTCCACCAGGGTTCCACCAGGTTCTGCGAGGGCTGCGGGGTGGTCCGGGGTGGTTTGAGGTAAGGTTCCACAAGCGTTTCACCAGGGTTCCACCAGGGTTCCACCAGGTTCTGCGAGGGTTGCGTTTAGGGTCCACCAGCGTTCCACCAGCGTTCCACCAGGGTTCGACCAGGGTTCCACCAGCTGCGAGGTAAGGTTCCATGAGGGTTGTACCGGGGTTCCACCAGCTTGCACCAGATTTCCACGAGCGAAAGGCTCCACAAGGTTTCACAAGGGTTCCACAATTGTTGCGGGAAGCAGTGTGTTGTGCGCCCGCCGGCTGAAAAGCCATCGGAGCAGTAAATTGAGGGCTCAGAAGATCGCTTTGCTCATGGGCGGAACACTAAGCAAAACCGAAATCAATGATTTTCAGCACACTTTCACTGTTTTTGACTTGCTCACTTGCTCAGACAACGCGGTTGGCTTTGTGGCAAATCGATCACGGTGCTGCGGGGCTCACTGTGCAGCAGGGTAAATGCTTGGCATTACTGAGTATTACTTGGTGGGCTTTGGGTTCCAAGGGTTCCACGAGGCCTGCGAGGGCTATGGGGCAAGGTTCCAAAACCGCACCACGAGGTTTCCACCAGGTTCTGCAAAAGCTATGGAAGGGATCCAACAAAGTTCACGCTGAGTTCCGTGGGAACGGTTTGCGAGGGCCCGATTGCACCGTCGGGGCCCGATTGCACTGTTCGGGTCGGGGCCCGATCGGGCCCCGATTGTGCCGTCGGGCCCCGACTCAGTCGGGCCCCGTCAACGGTACCAAGCTGGCGCCTAGTTTTGCCAGATACGGTTGTAAGGCCGCACCCTAAGAAAAGCCGGCGTTGAGCTACAATATGGGTGGCTGGGATTGGTGGGAGCCCGCTTGTGCCATGGGACCGCTGGGCGCCGGTCGGGCCTTATTGCACCGTCGGGCCCCGCTCGGGCCCTGATTGCACCGTCGGGCCTCGATCGGGCCTTGCGCCGTCGGCCCCCAATCGGGCCCCGATTGCACCGTCGGGCCCCGATCGGGCCCCGATTGCGATATCGCCTGAGCTTATATTTTGGACCTTGACAACTTTTTGCTTGAGTGCTTGCCTGAGGAGCTGGCGCGGGAAGCGTTGAAGGCTGGTAGCCGGAAGCTGCCCTTTAAGGCGAGGGGGGTGGGGAGGGTGTTTCTGAGCTTTAGCTGGTTTTTGGAAACTCCCAATTCAGACCCTCTTGTGGTGGTTTTGTTTTGGATGGGGGAAGTTTTTTTTTTGGACTTCGGCGGTTTGAAAGCGAGCCTTTTTTGGGGGCAAGCCTCTTCTGGGTGGTTTCAGAAGCCGAAACTGCCATGGATTGAATGAGCCACTGGGTCCAACCTGGGCAAATGATTCCGGGAAAACCCCACCGTACTACCAATTTGTTCCATGATGAAGGTCTCTTACTTGGAGATTCCTTATCACGAAAGCTAGCTTTAGCTAGCTGAAGTTTCTCCTTGCGTAAGCAAGGTAAGGGGCTCAAATGCCGAAAGATTGATTTTTTCCCGAAAAGATTGCAGTGGCTCAGTGTTCAGCAGTCTCGGTTTGCCCGTTTTGGACTTGGTGCCACGAACTTTTACATGTTCCACCGATTCAGCTTGTTCATTTGAGACATCAGTCTTCTCGGTAAACCACCTCGCAAGAATCTTTGCACACGCAGCATGCAGAACCCAGAGGTGCTTTCAGACAGCTTCTGACGCCTCTCGTTGTTTTCATTTTTCAAGGTTTGCCACGCCACCATGTGCGTTTGCGTGTCGCATCCTACGAATCTTGCCGGGCCTCTCGTTGTACACAAGCTACCTATGACTCCACTCTGTCACCGACCCATCTCATGCAACAACTGCTAGCTTTCGTTCACCCGCTCCTCAAGTTTCCTGCTTGGGTGTGGAGGAATTTGTCCAGACGAAAAGTGACATTTGTGGATTCTGCTCTGCTGTGCAGTCCGACCTTCCTAGTGCCAAAACAGAGAGTATTCGATTTGCCTGGCGCCATTCGTTTATTGGAATCCTATTGCAATTCTCGGCGGGTCCCAGCATTCTCTTAGACTGTTAGCTTTTCGAGTTCAGAGGTGTTTATGACATAACCATTGTGTTTGTTGCGCTGTAGCGAAGGACTGTTCGAATGCACCGATGGGAACCGACTGAGCCTTCCAGATTGGTTGGTTCGGTGTTGAACTCGCCTTGCCACGCCACTTGTGGACCTTTAGGTCATTGGGAGGGTTGAGTCTGATAGACGTGAACCAGACCCGTTAAAGGAGTTCTCATAAACGGGTAGCTTGCATCACAGGCTTAAAGGACTGTGCGTGTAGCATCCGAAAGGAACATATTCATTCTAGCCCATATGGGTCACCCAATCTATTTCACCCTGCATCCCCTCATTTGGGGGATTCTCCAAATAGGACCAGAAAAAATCGCACGAAGCGGCGCTTCGCTTAGGTGGGCTTCAAGGTGCGTGAGGAAGGGCCCTCCTTGTTCGAGCTTGCTTGAAGCGGAGAAAATCCTTGCACGCACAGCGCGTCCAAAGCGCGGCAAGGCCGTTTTCCGAGCTGGCTTGTGTTGGGCCAGGTTTCTACATCCCCAAAGAATTGCTCCATAAGCCTTAGGAATGATTGCTATATGATGTAAAAGTAGATGAGGGCATGCGTTTTTTCTTCTGGTTTCTTCAAATCAACTGTATATGTAGAGATTTGTATATTGTGACACATTCTCAAGACATGATATGAGGTTACCCTTGCTTCGATTGGCGCTGAACTCCACGGGGCCGCATGAAGCTTCGCGGCCCCATCGGCTGATCCGCATTTTGAGAAACGGCGCCGTTTCTTGGGCGATGTTTAAGGAACACCAAAGGACCACCGATGCCACTGTGGGGGGACCATAGAAAAGGACATACCCAAATACGGCCATGTTCAGACAGCCAGATTCCGACAGGTAGCTTTGAATTTCAAGAGGCATCGCTTTGCTGAGAATCACGGCCCAAGCTGGGTGACTGATTTACGGGAATTCCCCCGCTTTTGTTTTGTAAAAGTATTTCCAGACACAGGTTCATAAATAGTCCTAAATACAGTATGACAAACTTCCTTTTCAGGTGGGCCACGATTGTTCAGCAGCACGCTTGATTCCGGGACTTCGCTGTTCGCTCTGCATTTTGGCGGCAAAATCAGCCTAGAATCGCCGTCACCCACGAGGCTGGGGCCACCACTATTTTGGTTGCCCCCTATTTTGACACACACACACACACACACACACGCACACACCCGCATCAGCAATTTTGATCCCAGAGGTGGACTTCCGCAGTCCCAGCTGGCTGTTTGCCGCAGGGTAATAAAGCTTGCGGACCAATTGGAACCGGGCGCTTCCAAAGCGAAGATATCCCTCGTGGCTGCACCCCACTAACTCTCATCCCTCCCTCGTGGTTCTCAATCAAATGGATTCCCATTGCGGTTGCCTCTAGCATCACCGAAAAAAGGTGCCCCTTTTCCATTGGCCACCGCCGCATTTGGCCCTCAGAGCCATAGCAGGGACCAGAACGCAGGCCTTGGACTGAAATCAAGGGCCTCGCTGACCAGGGCCGTGTTCTTGGGGAAAAACCGAGAGGTCCGTTTACCTAAAATTGGGGGTTGGGTGGGTTGGGCGTGCTCGCTGCCATGGCGTGAGCAGACGAAGCAGTGCGGATGGAGACCTTTGGACTTGGTAAATTGTCCTCTTTGAGGTTTGGTCCAAATGTACGGTGTGGTTCATTTGGGAAGGACATGACTCACTCAATGTGTCCACCCGAAGGGTATACTCGTTTTTTGGTACTTCCTTTGCTGGATGCGTCTTTGATGGTGGACACTTGCTGGGTGTGGGAGCTTCTTCATGGGAACCAGGCTCATGGCCTCGTTTATGTGTATGTCCATTCAGGTTCGGGACATCGGGACATGGCACAAGTTTCAAGTGACAGATGTGCGCCCTTTTGGTTTCGGTTTCCAACGCCTAAACCATAAACCTCATATTTGACCGCGACTACAAGGCGCTGGTCCAACATCCTGTTTTGAGAACAGCCTGGGAGCGTGGTGCAACAGGCAAAATAAAAGGCAACATCAACATTCTCCGCTTTCCGAGGATCTAACTAGTCGAAACGGATTTCCAAGGCACAATGAAAAGCGGCACGAAATGCCTCGGAGTAACTTCTGCCGAGGAGATGATTTCCCCTCATCTGGTGATCGCATCTACAAGGCCCAAGGGGTGGACGCTTGGGCTTGCTATGCTGCAGCACAAACGCATCCAGTTGTCCGACTCCAGTTGGCCAACGTAGTATATTGCTAATACGGATTCAGATACCAAGGGGAGCTATGGGAAGGTGACCCTTGGTCCTGAACGACCCCCAGCCACTGGTCACAAGAACGGCTCTGGCGAGCTCAACATGGGTGAGGCAGCTACAGATGCGTGAAGCATAAACATGGCTTGTTTTCCTTTGGTTTCCTTCACAGACCTGCAAGCGCACGGCCTGCTATGGCCGGAGGGTTTTGGCGAAACCGATGGCGCGCAGGGCGATCCTGGAGGATGTCTCGGCGGAGACCTCATACCATGTATGATCAGCGCCCTGGCGCGAGAGCACTCTGGACTTTGGTCCCTCCTGACTTACGGAGGGTACCTTTTCATGCGACTGGGAGCCCTCCCGAAAATGCGGGGACAGTGCTGACCTTTTGCGGGTCAGTGCGACCAACCCGGTGAGGTTGTTTCTCTCCTCTTTTTGCAGTTGTCCAGGTCGGATGTTTGCGAGATCCGGCCGTGGCTTTGGCCGGCTTCGGTCAAACCTCCAAATAGCATGCCAAAGGACAGCAATGCGGGCACAGCAAAAGATCTGATTTCCAGCCTGTGTTTTCAGTGCATTTGAACGATGCCTCTAATGCTGAGTCAATGGCATGCCTTTATCATCAACCCAAGCCGTCATGACTCAGACAAGACACGACAAGACCTAATTGAGCGACTTGAAGAAGGCCAGTGTTGCCTTGATTTGAGGAACTGTTCGATTCTGCTTGGCCATTTGCTCATTCAAAAGAACACTTTCAAGCAATGCGCGCGAACCGCTGGTGTTGGAAGGTCATGGTAAATCCCATCACAGCGGTCCAGGTGTTGGAGGCACGAAAAGTCGAGTTGTTGAAGATCAGGATTGTTCTGGTGGTGGATTCAACAATTTCCACGATACTCGCTCAGAAAAGCATGACTTCATGTGAGTGATGATTGAGTGGAAGCATGCTGGATTCGAGCCGTGTTGCAGAGATTAGGTGCTCCTTGAGGTTGGCTCATCGCACCATGGGCCATGAACGGTTATCAGATAAGTTTATCGCATTCTGTTTGAACGCCTATACTGACACACGGTCGCTTCATGGGCTCAAGCCACATGTTTTCTTCTCTTTCAAGTTGAGTGTCAAGAGCAGATTCAGCATGAGCTGTTCTGACTGCTGTCAGCAAGAGCTTGACCTCGGGACGGCAAGTCGTTTGGGTGCGGTGGCACATGATCTGAAATCATGGTCTGATGTCGAAATTCCGGACCAACCACAAGAAATGAAAGTCAACGGACTAGGAGGCATGGCTTCCTTGACTATGGCATTTGGCATGTGCGAGGAAGAGGTTGCGGCAGACTTGTCCTGCTGGAGCTTGTATGTTTCAGAGAGAATTTACACCACGGACTGGGAGATTCTGCGCGGAATTTCGCTGCGGGATTCCTTCCGTTTTGGAGGCAGCCTTTGGCGGAATCGTCAGCACCTTGATCGGAATGATCAAGTTTTCGCTTGGTGCAGATCTTGCCAACCCCCAAAGAGAGAGGAATTGAGTCCATGCATTCATTGCTGGGGAGGTTGCTTGGACAGTAGTTGTGAGAGCATGTAATTGTGTAGTTGTTCCTTCAGAGTCTGATGGATGGACGATGGAAGTTGATCTCTGGGAAGGCCCCAAGACATCCCAACAAATTCCTAAGATAGCTGAGGCGAGTGGGAGCTGGACCACAGGCAGACCTGTTTCACCAGTCGAGACATGTGGAGCAATTGGATACTCAGCAGCAAAACAGGTCGAATGTCATTCGGCCACAAAACACGATTCTAATTGCTGCAGTTCTTCATTGCCCATCTTGACTCTACTTCTTGACTTTGCTTACCCCGACATATGTTCATCTCAATCTTTGTTCATTGGCATTGCTGCACTCACGAGGGGAACAGTCTGCATCACTGTGCATGGGCCATGTTTACTTCTAGGCAAGAAGCTGTTTTGCACCTTTAAACTGGCAGTATTTGTTCAAAGCAACAACTTTTTGAAGATTTGTTTGATGGATTTACGTTTTCTGTACATGCCGAAACAACGTTAACTCTGAACAAATACAAAGAACCAATACTGCTCTTTCAGAATGCAGTTTCACCTAGACCAGATCTATTTAAAGTTCTTCAATATTCTGTCAAGTCGCAACTGTGTATGCTTTGGGGTCTCAGCCAATTTCGGTTGCGGGGTGTGCTGGGGCGCGGCCCAAATCTTGTTTGTCCAGTTCCGGGAACCGAGGTTCCGGCAACGTGGGTTGCTGGAAGCCGGGTTCAGTCAGGTTTCCAGGAAGCAACGGGAGGATCCGGGGAGTGCGGAATCACTGAGGGTTCAAAGCAGGACGAAAGTCCCTGAGGTTTAGCGACGTATGTTTGGATTTTTTTTTTTAAAGTGACCAGGCTTTTGGGAACCGGGGATTCGTGTTTATGCAACAGACTCGAGTCACAATCAAAGTTTAGCATGGTCACCAATATGATTCATTGTGTATGAACCAGCTTCAGAACATATAGCATCATGGGTTACTTGTGAGTGGATTCTTATATTGTGTCTTATATTTATGACGGTGGGTGGCGACAATGTGCGGCACACCAGGACAGTCTTTTGTTCAGTTTTGGACATTCAGCGGGGCACCAGAGTTTTGATCCATGCTTGAAAACTCTGCTTGCCTCTATTTGCTTTTGCCGCTGCCAGCAGATGTACGTTCGTTGCCCAAGAACGAAGACGACGTGTTGTGACTGAGGATGTGTTCGTCTCGCACACCTGGGCTTCTGGAGGATGGTCCAAATGGTTGTCGCTCTTGATGCAAAGTGGCTGCAACTGCGCTTTGTCCGGGTGGCTGCTGGGACGCTTTGGCTTACAATAGCGAGCGGCAGCTTTGATCTTCCCAGGAGAGAATTTTGGCCAATTTGGCCAACCCTTGTACTCTTCGTGTTCTTTGGTCTGTATTCCAGGGCTGCCCCGGCTGGCCCCTGAGCCACATGACGCCGCACCACGCCACGCCACCACACACGCACGAACGAACCTGCGTTGCTCAGCTCGCAGATGCTCGCAGAGAACTCGACCGGCTGCATCCCCAGCGTTTCTGGCATGGGTTTCTGCATCGCCAGCATCATTCGCACCTCCCAAACGCAGCGATGCCTCAATGGTCAATATTTTGCAGAACCACAGTTAGAACAGACCTTGCCCAGCTTTTTTCATCATCAAACCGTGACCCCTTTTAGCAACTTTTTTAAACAGCAGCTCAAAACTGTACATTTTCAATAGCCAACATTTCAAAAGAGGTAATTTCCTAGTTAGTCTATCCAATATTTATATACTCAACATTTTCAAATATTGAATTTTCCAAAGTCTTCCAAACATAAAATTTCTACACATTATACAAATCAAAGTATGTTTTCCAAATATTATGCTAAAGCAATTTACAATAGTCTTATCATATTTTTCTGTAAAATATATTATAAGCAAGGTTTCCATCATTCATTCTTATTTTTTCAGTTTTTGTAATATGTTTTGGGAAATATTACCTGGGGTAAAGATGGGCAAGGTTAGGTTTATTCAATATTTCCCACTGATGTCGTCCCCGAAAACAACTCTGATAAATTCATATTCTGATTTAGATAATGTTTTGAACATATACACATTTATCCTCTTCCGTTTTTTTTTGTTTTTTTTGGAATGATTGTTCTTTGAATATTTGATTTGTCACTTATCTAACATATCACAAGTTTTTTTGGTATCAGAATCACCGCTAGGTTTGCCTATTCTTTGATTTTCAACACTCTCATCCATCTTTTCCTTCTCTTCATTGCTATTCTTTAGTTCAGCTGCTTCAGCATCTAAAATTTGGTCTATGGTTTTAACCATTTCTGACAATGCTTCAACATTCTTACTGACAGTTGTAAGCCTTTTTATTAAATCGTTAATGGTGAAAAAACTAACATTAATCAAATGTTCGTTGGTTTCAATAGCCATACAACCGCCAGTTTTGTTTTCCCAATGTTTAAGTCCTTATTTGACCTTGTATAAGAAGACATACAAGGAATACCACTAACCTTCACCCCACCTTTTTATCGACTCTCCATTCATTTTAAAATTCACAACATGATTACATTCATCACATTTTATAGTTTTGCTTTCACCCATTGATTTAACACTTTTTGTTGTTTCCTTCCGTGCTTCACTTTCTGGCATTGGTCTTTGTTTGCTTTTACTCTTTTGCTTCTTTCCCATTTGTATTAATATTTAGACTTCTTTTTTTTTTTTTGAGAAATTGTATTCCTAGCTTAATTATTTATAATGTGTAATAACACCATTTGTTTTTAAGTTTATTATCAGTTATTACAACGTGTTCTGCTTTCTCTACTTCATCCATGATATCAATATAATCTGAATAAGTTCTATTGATATAAAAAATAAGATACATTATTATAGTTAGTCTTATTATTAAAATACTCGGGGTCGGCAATGGGGGCTCTTCGCACTGCACACATAAGCGGGACTCAAACTAGTTATCTTCAATGCTTATGATTGGAGTAATGAACATCTGTTCCATTTATGATATCCTTATATCATAAACGATAGTTCTCATAATTATAATATTTTGAATTTTTTAAATATCTTCAATATCAAACTAGTCTCAAGTTCTAATAATAAAACCAATAAACACAACTGATGATGATTTCAAGCAATCTAAATATGAGCACGTGCCAAAACTACCATTTAGAAGTATTATAGTATTATAGTTGCGTCTTCAACAGGAGGAAATACTGTCCTTATTGAAACGTTGATTTTAAGTGTTTATTGAAATTCATTTGCAATAATATTTATATATTCACCCAGCGTGCATAACGACCTACATTTACAGAAGTGAAAAAGTATATCCGAGATGAATTACACGTGGATGGATGACAAAGAACAAATATATTGTGACAATTATAATCCAATTTATTTAGACAATGAAATTGAGAGACAGAAGAAAATCATTAATTGAATGAAAACTAAAAAGATAAAGAACCTGCATTCCATGTTAACTGTCATTGACGATCATGCCGAGGACCCTAAGTTTGTTAGATATAGTACATTACTACACGGGCTTTTTACAAGAGGTAGATACGATGCCGTAGGTGTAATTTGTTCATCGCGAAACTATAATGTATCATGAAGCTGTTCATGACGCACCTTATAGTTTCTTTCATGTGAATATGAATGCTAAGAATGTGACATGTTCAAAAATCCGCTTTGAACAGGCATTGCAAATCATTGAAAATTAATAGTATTAAGAGAGAGAGAGAGATAGTCTTGCAGGTGATGTCACTCAGGTAGATGTACACCACTCGTCGTGCAATTCAAGTTCATAACTGCAGAGGTCAGGTCGGTATAGGGGATCCACCCGTGCATACATAAAGCAAATCAGGCAATGTCAAGGTATAGGGGATCCACCCGTGCAAACTTAAAGCAAATCAGGTGCTGTCAAGGAGACACAATAAGATGCAAACAAATGCAAGTCAGCATGCGGGTACAAAGAAGGCACTTTCGCGAAGATTTCGGCACTCCCACAACACATGGCGCACAGTGCAATGATCATGCTTTCAAAATGGGCATGGCATGCTAGTGCCCCTCATCAAAGCATTGTGTTTTACAAGTGATGATGAGGCAGCCCATTTCCAAACACAATGCGGATGCAAAAGTCATAAAAAGTCTCATGTAGAATGTGAAGAGGATGAAGAGGATGAAGAGGATGAAGAGGATGAAGAGGATGAAGTAGATGTAAAAAACATCATATCATATATTGAATAAAGCAACATTGGAACATGGGTATAGGTATATTAAAGAGTTGCTTTTACAACATCATAATTTTGAAGTGAATCAAGACTTTAACACATCAATCTCCACTAGTATCAATGTATATAGTGTACAAGCTGATGCTTTTGTAATTGATAATAGCAATGTTGCAAAGCAAAGCAGCTACTAGAATTTCATAATTATTTAGGAGGCTGGAAAGTTTCAAAGCAAGGTACAGATACCAAATTCACTACTGATGTGAAGTTGTAAACAATGAACAAATAAAAGTACCAGTTTGTGAAAGTAACACTATTAATATTGTAGATGAATATGACACTGACAAAGTTATAGAGATTGTTGAACAGAATGCCCCCATTATGATTAAGATAGCATTTATTATGTAATTTATTGTCCCACTAACAAACTAGTACAGGCATTTGAAGGCGACGCAATGACAATAAGGACTTTTGTTTGGTATTTTTTTTATGGCGACGCTAAATTAGAACCATTTGATTCTACAGGTTATGATGTGATAGTATTTGACGAAGTTTGTTTTAGTAGTTTAAGCACATACTGGAGAATAAAGCAATGTGTAGAACAGAACAAACACAGCACAATTACAATCGCAACAGGGGACACCAAGCAATTAAACCCAGCTCAAGAAATAAAACACACTGACAATGTTGTAGACAGTAGTTTTAAGGATAATGGTTTTTATTAACAGAATGTACAAGACTAAACACACAGGAAGATAAAGATGAACTTAAACATATGGAATATGAGGTGTTTGTTAATACCTATTAAGACAGTTATTTTTTTTTTGAATATACAATTGACAACACCATAGCATTTTTAAATAAAACCTGTAAACATGTATCAAATGAAATTAGACAATTAGAAAATCGAAAGGGTAAATATGAAGTAGGAACATTTTTAATATGTGGGGAATATATTAAAACTCAAAAATCAGTTTTTAATGAGACTTTATGTAAAGTATAAATAGTTCATATTGGAAGGGATGGACTATTTACATTGAAAGTGTTAAAACTGAAATTCTACAGTCTTTATCAATTGACAAAATAAGAAGCAATATTAGAGCAAAACGAAGCATACCTAAAGAAGGTTATGTGAATGCTCAATGGTTTTTTGGATAATATGACTAATCAATGTCATTACTGCAGTTGCAGTTGTTCTATTCATATGGCAAATGGTAATATAATAACTAATCTAACCGCACAAAGAAAAGATAATGAATCAACCATCCTATTAGATAATGTCATACCAGTCTGTAAGAGGTGATTGTAATTGTAAATGTCCATCTTTTCACGAAAGCTAGCTTTAGCTAGCTGAAGTTTCTCCTTGCGTAAGCAAGGTAAGGGGCTCAAATGCCGAAAGATTGATTTTTTCAATTATTTGAGCCGAAAAGATTGAAAAATATCAATTATTTAGACCTCCCCCCCCCCTCCCCCAAAAAATGTAGAAAAGGCTGGTCCTAAGGGGAAAATGACAAATGTTGAGGGATTTCTTTGAGTATTGTTTTTCAACAGTTTAACCATCTTATTCGTTTTCACTACCCATGTTTCAAGCCATGTTTCATTTTGTGTTTCTCGGGGTGATGTTTTATTTCGTTTTGAAAGAGGTTAGAACTTTTAGTAGTTTCATCGATTGGGGTGTTGGCGGGTCTTCTGGTTTTCCTATTCTTTGTTTATGTCGTATTCAAAATCTGATGAGGTTTCAATGTAATCTCTTATCTCTTCCTGTGTTGTTTGCTGTTTGTATTCTTTTGTTGCTTCTTCAGTCTTTGGTGGTTTTGGATTATTAACATTGTTGATGTGTTTGTTTGTTCTTTCGTGCTTTGCTTTCCGACTAAGTGAGACCATACACCTACAATATTGACATTCAATTTTCCTTTGGTTGTATTCTTTACTGTATTCTTTCTGGTATTGCTGTTTGTGTTCTTTGTTGTTTTCATAATATTCCTTCGCTTTTTGGCTAAGTGTTTCTTTATTTCTTTCTCTGTATCTCTGTTTGCTTTCGAGACATATATTACATTGTTTCCTTT